TTAACCACAAATCATAAATCCGATTACTTAAGTGCTCGGATATAGGTATTTCCGACATTGATGGTATTATATTATATAGTCTTATACATTCAGTGTAGCCCGGTTTTGATTCTTTTGATACACATAATAGAGTTTTTAGATTCTCATGTGCTTATTCATCATGTATAGTCTTTACAAATATATTTGGGCGTATTATAGTTTTTTATTTATTTATGAAGAAAACATTTTAGACGTGGTACAAGCAAACTGAAAATAAATACTAATCAAGCTCTAGAACTTAGGAAATTTTAGGTACCAAAAGTTCTGCTGGGATTTTCCAACTAATATTTTAACTAACAAAAAATTAAGAAAAATAACCTGCTTTGGTCTCTGGCCTACTAAATTTTGCGGATATATTTTTAAAAAATGTTTGAAAAGAAAAAATGAGGTTTATTGAAATGATATGTTAATCACTACTACTACCGCTGCTACCTTATTTTTGTTACGTTTAGTGATTAGCAAAGGAGCTTAAAGCCTTAAAAAATTAGTCTCAAATTAGTAATTCATGCTTGAGAAATATTTTTCAAATACACTCTTACTTACATCTTAATAAAATCATTATCTATGGTTAGTTCATATATTCAAACTTTTATCTTATTTTTAGATTGTTTGTTACTTTTCTTTTGCTTGGTTCGTTTGTCTGCTTTGCATGTTAGTATTTGTTAAGTTTGATCATCTTGTTTGATTGTTCGCTATATATAGACTTTAAAAATGAAACGAAAACATCCAAACCCCAACTACAAAATTTCTCCTTAGTTTAATCCAGTTCTCGCATCTCTGGTATGTAGCAAACGTACTGGTCTCTGAGTTTGATATGCTTTATAATACCATCAATTTTATCTTATATATATATATATATATATATATATATATATATATATATATTCATAAAAACTAAAAAGTATTATTAGAAACTAAAATTCGACCACATCAATATTTTACTGTAATGGAAAATATCAAATCAATATGAAAATAGAATACTAATGATTATGATTAAAAAAAAATTGGAACTTTATGTTTGATTGGTTGTCAAGGTAAGTGAGAGGATCAATAAGATTTGATTCGAATTCATGTTTTATAAAAAAGTATTTTAAAATAATAATATGACAACATTTAAAGAAACATACAGAAAGAGATAGACGGTAGTAATGTAGTGTAGCAGGGAAATGCATGTGCACAAAATCTACGGTAGATATTAGTTAATGGATATTTTAAACAAGTTTGGGTGTATAGATTACTCCACTATGCTTTATGGTATTAAGCTACTATACTATAGTATAATTTAGTGATTTATATTAATGTCGTCACTGTATAACTATATAAGTTCAAATACATATTTTTGTAACTTTTAGATATCAAAATTTATGCTAGTAAATGAAAAGATTAAAAAAAAAAAAAACTAATTTGATATTTGTATTATCAATGTGCATTATGTATTTTTCATCCGCATCATAAAAGTTTAACAATTAAACAGGTTTGAGCTATATATTTTTGGAATAAATAATTTATCAAAAGATAGTTTTCAATGCTATCATACATGTGAGATCAAAACAAGTAAAAATCTTCGTCGTTATTTCAAGACATTCGTAAGGGTTATTGAACCAACCAACGAATTTTACTTGTTACGAATTTCTTGAAATAACCAACCAAATGTAAAACATAAATAAAATTACTACTACTCAATAATTAGTGTTTAGGTAAATTACTACTACCATTCAAAATCAAAGACTATTAAACATATCACTAAAATATTAAATTTTACTTGTTAATCAAATTTGAAATGGCGTCATTACTAAGAAAGAATATTAATTCGTTAGCATCTGACCTACAAGTGGCACACACCTGTTAGTTCCTTGTCTTTTAAAAATGTGATCTTTTACTACTTAAATATTGTTTATTGAGTTGTTAAGGCTAGGAGAGATGTTCGGGGGATCACATGATTCACGACATTAGTATATTTTATGAATAACTATTATTATTTTTGGCTAATAAATTAGGATAATTGTATTTGTAGCTAATAAAAATACTAATAGCTAGATAGTCTGTCTCTATACACAGCCAAAACTCGTCCGCTCGTATTTATAAAGGAGCCACACAAGAACTGAAGAAATTTAAGAGGCTAGTTATTAGAATATGGTAACAATAAATATATACACAATGTCTTTTGAAAGTACAAATATAACTAAATTTGTTGATATGAACTTGTTAGACTATTATTAATAGTTTTTGTTGGATGATATTTTAGCCCTCAGTATTTTGCTAAACGACGTACGAGAACATTCTTGAATTGTTAAAATTAGATAAATATTTGGATCTTACTAAATTAATGGAGTAATTTTAAAAAAAAAATTTTTTGGTGCCAAGATTCTAAATCCAAGGAGGGCCTCGACCGGGTGATATATATGTCACTGACTTTAAATCAATCAATAGAGAATTAAAACACGTTTTAAGAAGATTATTTGTACGCCTGGCGACCATTTCACTCCCTTTTGAGAAATGCAACAAACGTATGTTTGTGTATATAATATATATGCACACATACTAACACAAAATTTTAAAATATTTTAAGAAATAATATATTTCATCCTTTTCACAAAAATTTATCGTTTTGACACATTTCACATGAATTAAAAAATTTGCCTACACATATATGAACTTATTTAATGTCATTAATGGTGATTTTTTCCTCAAAAAATAGCTTTGGATAAAGGATAAAACGACATTCCGCTTCAAACAAAAAAATTCATAACGCCAGTTTTTGTGAAACCGAAAGTTTACAAATGTAAAATTATTGAAATAGAATCGAGATTCTTTAATTTTTAGCTGTTTAGTGTTTACCAGTGTTTATAATTGTGAGCATTTATTTTAAATTTAATTAAACTATTTATTCAATTTTAATAATTTATTAGGTTTAAGTCTTACTCTAAATAAAATTTTGATATGATGTTTTAGTAGAATACATTATTATTGTGTATATAATTTTTTACTGTGATTAAAGGAGTTATAAAAATTATAAGGTAAGAGATAAAAGAAAATATCTAAAATGTAATGTAAATCTTGTGATTGACTAAAACGTGATGTAATAGTCGAAAAGAGAGAGTTAAATTTTGTAATACTATTCTTAGTATATATATAAAAAATTTGGTTCGAGATTAGGAGTTACTTCTAAAAGAGACAATTCCACAAATTTTGATTGACTAAAATTTTTAATTTTTTTATTCAATATGTTTCTTACGTTCAAATTTAATTTTACTATAATAGTTTATAATATTTTAGTTCTCTTATAAAAAGAGCAAAAAAATAATGATCATAAATTCAAAAAGAAGGAAAGAAAATATTTATGGATTAAATCTAAACCTTATGAAATAAAATTTATTTGAAAACTACAGCTTTAAGCAAAATTCTATTTTTAATGCTAGGGATAATTAAATTAATATCTAAGCATAGGTCATATTATACTTTTTTTGTCAAATCCTATTATCATATATGTAACACATGTAATTGTTTTAACAAAAAAAGGTAAGTAAATGTATTTAGTATTTGACTTCATAGTCGGAAGACTCAAAACTATGTCATATGACACATTCACATAGTAACATTTACAAAGATGCAACTAGGGGATAAAACTCTCCCGGGAAAAAATTGTAAAATATTGTGATAAATAATATGTCTTTGGTCTTTAATACAATAAAATAAAATAAATAAGTGTTGCACCTAAAAATCAAGGTTAGTGATGTACACAAGTGTACAATAAAGGCACTACAAAAAGCTCCAAATTTATTAAAATGTATTGAATCTGTAAATTGAATATGGAATCTGATCGGTAACCAAAAGATATACAAATTTTTTAGCTGTAAGCTTTATCGAAATAGTGTAAAACTGTATAAAAAAAAAACTGTATGAGAAAGCTGTAAAAAAAAAAAACTGAAAATAAAATTTTTAGTAACACTTATGATAAAGTTTTTGTGATTGGTAAAAATAAAAACCCTAGAGAAGGAAGAGGGGGAGTGGTCACATGGACGGACATATTGGGGCTACAATTTGTAATACTTTATTTTTGTTCACCAATCAAATCCATGACTTTGACACAAACTATGATATGTAATTATTAATTACATTTAACTCGTATTTACGTTATATTATATAGTTTGACTGCTTTTCTTAGTGAGTCCCTTTTAGAATTTTTTTCGCCACAATACATGTCCTAAAAGGTAAAATACAAATCTTCAAGCTATTTTATATATCTCATTGCTGCCTCAGAAAAATCATTTATAGATACCAGATTTATTGTTATATATGATTAACGCATTAATGATAAAACAAGTATACTTTGAGAAAGCTATGATGCGGCAGAAAAAAAAAGGAAACAAAATACACAAAAAATAATGCTCAAGCTATGGGTGTCTAAGGCTAATCCGTTTCTGATTCGGTTTCTTTATTTTTTATTTTTTGGTTTTAACGTTTTTAAGCTTTGACAAGCTGTAAATGAAAAGTGTCTAACGTACGTCTAATGATGTGTCTATATTAAAACTTATTATTATGTAATTTTTCTTAATTTACGAAATTATCTAAAAATAAGTATAGCATATGTCTTAATAATTATTCTACGTGGACCATATAGAGTAAATGAAAATAGTAATCCGTCAGCTATTCTTTTATGTAATTATCAAGGTCAATATGAGAACAATATATATAGTAAGCTCCGATCTATATGTATATTAAAATGTTCAAATCTAAGTAATTAATTAAATCTAATAGTATTGTAGTCTTTATTTGTGTTGGAAGTCATCCAAAACCGAGGAAAAAATGAAAAAATATGAACTACGATTAAAATATTGCACAATCATTGTAATTAATAAATGTTTTATTTGTCAGAATTAATTGTGAAATCAAATAAGGGCATAAAATCTATGTAATGTATGTATGTGTATGTGTATGTGTAGGACGTATCTAATGAAATCTGGACACAATCTGATCCAGCGATGCAGTAGTTACTGATCTTAATAACAAAGCATAAAAAAGATTTTTTTAAAAAAAGATAAAATAAAAAGCTTATAAAGAAGAGATCACCATTAGAGATCTCTTCGATTCCTCAGCACAAAGCTAAACAAACAACCCCACACACACACACAAAAAAAAAAAAAAAACAATTGTTGGGTTTTTCTCTCTCTAGCAAGACTTTCTCTCTCTAATTCTTGATTATTATTTTCCGGTGTATAAATGGGTAGTAGTTTTTTTGGGAGACCAAAAATGGGTGGATCGTCGTCGTCGTCACCGACATCTTCTTCTTCTCCGGCAAAGAGAGGGAAGAACAAGAATGGTTCTGACAAGCCTAAGCAGCCTCAGAGAGGTCTCGGCGTCGCGCAGTTAGAGAAGATTAGATTACACGGCGAGTATAACTGCAACAGCTTCAATACTTACCCTTCTTATCATCCCTCAACTTTCAATAATCAGGTACAAATTTCACACACATATACATACATATCTCTATAGATCCATGTAAAAATAGACTAGTAGTAATGATTTTTATAACTTTTAGAAAACTCTGGTTTAGAATCTTTCAACCGTGACATTAAGGATGATTTTGATTGAGATTTGTTTTTTGATCATGCTAGCTGATTGTATGCAATAAGGATTCTCTAAGAGCTAAGGCTAACGTTTATAGCATAACTACATGATCATCCATCATATACAATGCAGGAAAACAAATCTATGTTTTGATACATTATGCCTTAATCGATTTGCGGAATTATATAGATTTAGTTACAGATTCATTATGCGTTTATTTAGGCTATATGAATAAGCTAAGTATCGTGTATGTGAATGTTCAATAATGTAGGAGGATGTGAGGATGCAAGGAGGATATCCATCCATACCATCTTCATCACCATCCTTTTCATACGCATCATCACCACCATCATCGGGTCCTTATGGCTTTCACCCAAACATGATGGTATGTATATGCCACATTCAAAGTTGTGTACATATATGCATGTGTAGTTTTATATATACCGTATCTAGTACTATCATTTATATGCTTTCACAAACTAATGATATATACACATCACATGTTTGTTCTTAAATGCACATCTTTTTAGATTTAGAAGAAATTTAAATCAGATTCTTAAATTAGCTTTAGAATAAGTTTGAAATATCTCATCTTAATTATTCGCAAGATCTTCAGTTATATTCGTATTGATTATCATGTTATCTACCTACGAAAGATAAAGGAATTTTTAACAAATTTTATACCGTTCAATTACTAGTTTCCATGGAATAATAAGATCTATATAATTAAACTCGGTGGAAATAGTTAATAATACTAATCAGTTTTCTCAATAATTATTGTTTCATTTTTTATTTTGTGATCTCACAGATGAATGCAAATAATGATCAATACGAGAGAACAACAATAAGATACGGAGATTCTCAGCCTCACATAGCACCAAGGTCCGTACACATTGTTATAGTCAAAGAGTGTTTGTAGAAACAATATTTAATTTTATATGTTATATTGTTTATATATGTGCATTTCAATGTTTCTGATATATTTAAAATAAAGCTAATATTTTTGTTCAACACAGTTGGAACCCGAGCTACGGCATCTTGGAGAGCCAACATTTTGTGGAACCAAACACAACAAGACACTTCTTACATGAGGTTATTACTTTATATATAATTAATCATGTCTTACGAGATATAGTGGTTACTATGTACTAAGATTTGACATGCATGATATAATTTGTGTTAATTGTCTCAAAATTGTTGTGGATCTCTCTGAGTGATTTTTTCTTCTTCCCAATCTTATAGGATCAGAGAAATATATCATTGGGATCGGGTATTCAGAACTTCGAAACGAGTGAAGCAAACGAGCTAGATTTGGAATTGAGATTGTAACTTTGACTAATGTATGAAAAAATATTATTGGAAAAAGAGGCCATGGAGTTGTTATACATTCAAAGCAATTTAGAGAAATAATATATAGGTCATTTGATTTGATATTGGGTATCAGATTTTGATATCAAGATGTTTTCTTTTATATAAAGAGTAAGTATGTAAATTAATACATAATTTCAAAAAAAATCTTAGATCATAAATTAGAGAGGTAGGATTACTCTGCATGAGGGAAACGGCTTACTAGATCGTATCTTGTGGATGTTCGTATAATACAAGAATAAAAACTATATACGTAGAGGTTTCGATTGGTAACTCGGGAGATTTCAAATTGCGTCTTCTTACCTCATTTGTGTAAACTTTCTTATTGTCCATTTTCATCGCCTCCTCTATTGAATCTCCCTTAATAGTTAGTTCTTTAGACTTCAAGTAACGGCAAACACAATACGTAACTCTTTTGGTTGTTTAATAAAGCATTTACGCAATATTGGATGAAAGAAAAAAATGACGAGATCCCACAACTTTCTTACTTAACTCTAATTACTTAAGAGAAAGGATGATGACTCTAGACATTTGTCAGTGAGCATACTTGTAAATGGAGCTAGCCCTCTTATGTATATCCAAATTAAGAAGAAAAAAAACACAGACAAAAGTTAGTTCGGGTAAATTAAAAGTTAGCCATATGCTTTTATATGATTATATGTTGTAAGAAGAGCCAACAATGTTACGACATCATCGATAAAATGATGTTGATTGATTACCTTTGTGATTAAGATTAAATTTATTTGTCATGTAAGAATATAATAATTGGTTGGCCTCTTCGGTCTCTTTTGGATTGTGGTAAGCGATACAATACTTTTGACTGATGGTGATTGGTGGCGTTGATCTAATTATCACAAGGAATGAAAATGAAACTAAAGGTTTTGAATATATAATTATGATTTCTGAACAAGATTAACAAAAACGCGATCAACATTACCTTTTACTCATTATCAAACTTTTTCTCGTACAATGTTTGTCTATTTACCATTGATCGAGATTTATAGTGAATAGAATATACAAGAATATTTGAATACTATTCAATACCCACCGAAAGTTATTCTTGACTGATCACTAGATTTGATTACATAAATCATATATAAAAACCTTAAAACACGTTTTAATGATGTCTTAAACTTTTAGAACGAAATTTATAAATTAATCTAAATGAAGAATCGTTGTTTACAGTGTTTCACCACTTCAGTGTCCAATCTCTGTTATGTGAACGAAAACAAACCAAATAAATTTATCTAAAAGCCGAAATTTATCAAATTTTATTTTTTTTGGTTAAACAAAACTTGTCAAGTTATATTCAGTTTTTTCATAAAATTCTAAAATAACTAGATTAGGCACCGCGAATATGCGGGTTATAGTATAATTTTTTAAAATCCGTAAATAAATTAAATTAAAAATTAAAAATTTGAAATTAAATAAAGTTAAATCATCCGTATTAAAATATAAAATAATATTGAATACTACCAAATCATCCGCCAATGGAAAAACTTAACAAAATTACATTATTTACTTATTTTGATTCTCTTTTTTTTTAATTATTATTATTTGGTTTGCAATAAATTTTTGTTATATTTTTGCAAATATTTATTGTACACATGTCAAATCTTATCGATTCACTGACATGAAACACTTTACCGAATTAGTTTTTCATATTTATATTAAAATAATATTAATTTTTAAATCACATTTGAATTTTCTTGTTTTTCCAATTATTTTTTAATTTTTACAATTATTTTTTAAATATTTTTTATTCTTTAAAAATAAGTAGTGTAATGCTCATACGTGAAACTTTGAAGAATTAGTTTTCATATTCATGTTTGAATAAGATTCAATTGTCATAAAATTATATTTGACTTTTTTCTGAATTGACAAAGATATATTATTATTCCTTTTTTTCTTTTTTTCATAATTATTTTCATTATTCTTTTAAAATTTAATGGGACACAAAATTGTAGAAGTAAACATAAGAAAATAAAATTAGTATGTTCTATTGCTGTGTGATTTTATAATTGCAATATTATTTTATTTATTTTCACTTGGGAATTTGATTTTTCCACCTTTTTTGTTTTTTTATTAATCTCATGTATTGTAAAATATAAAATTACTCATATAATATTTAGTTTGTTCTATCCTATTGAATTAATTTTATTTTCTTATTATTTTGCTACTTAACTATATTTTCCTTTAAACCTTGAATAACTGATTCTGATAAAATTATTTAAATTAGATTTAACTTTTTAATCATATTCGACTTTTTAATATATGTTTACAAAAATAGTAATTGCAATTATTTTCTTATTAGGATTAGTAGTTTACTTTATTACAAAAAAAAACTCTTTTAGCTGTTTTCTTATTAGGATTAGTAATTTACTATATTATTTTCGTTTTATATACTTTTCACATATAGTAATTGTAATCCTTCTATTTATTTTTTAATTTATTGAATAATACTTTTACATGTGTCAAAATCTTATCGATAAACTTGACACGTGTTGCGACTATATGAATTACTAACTTTATATAATAAAATGTAACGGATGCCACTTCAATGCATGGACCCAGCCCGCTTAGGCCACTCTGATAATTTGGACGCAAAAATCCTATGTTTCTCCATAAGGACCTTGGACCAGTCTGATGCCCAAAACAAGAAGACCAAACAAGTGATATATAACTAAGTTAATAAACTAATAAAGCGGGGATGTGCCTTTAGTAAGGTGGTTAAGTCCACTTGACTCCGTCTTCTCCACCGGAGTTCGACTCCAGTAAATCGCGTTACCCCGCGTAGTAGAGATTGACTATGGATCGGGCCTTGTCGATCTAAAGATGTCAAAAAAAAAAAAAACTAATAAATCAGCATCTTATAGTTGTTTTTATTAATTTAAGTAAATAACTGTAATTATTTTTTGAAATAAATCATAGAATATATACTATTTTAAAAATAACATGCTATTTAGAAAACTATTTTTCATTTTTAACTACATGTCACCATTCAACGTAAAAAATAACACCAAAGAAACAAAAAAATATAGACCAGCTTTAATCCAAAACTGATTGATGACGAATTATTTGTAAAGTTTCTGATTAGGAAAAAGAGAAGTTGATGACAAGTTCATCGACCCCATGTATTGTAGTCTTCCCCACGTATATCATAGGCCTCTACCACAACCGCGTGAAGCCAGCTAACAGTGTCCATCATCTTATATTTTAACCTTCTTCTTTTTTTATTTTTTCTTTCTAATTTTATTCTATTTATCAGAACCCATGTTGCTAGTTACTAATTAAGAAAAATACATATTCATAGTACCTTTTCAGCATATCATTTTCTTTATATTAAAGAATTTAGTTCTTTAATCGTTATGTTGTCTATTTCATGCATACACAGGTGCACGTAAATTATCAAAATATCTATACTTTTTGGACTACGTCAAAAGTTCCATTTTCTTAAAGTTAATATATAAAGAAAGCCTTCCTAGAGCCAAATGGTCATCGATCGAATAGAGTCCCAATCCAAAACATTTCAAAGACAAATCAAATTCGTAAGATATGGCCGGTCTTCGAGCGAAGACGTTAATATTCGTTCTGGTGGCCGCGTTAGCGACTCTAGATCACACATTTGTGGAGGCAGACTTCATCAAGAATATGATAGTTACATGGGGCCAAGATCATATTGGTATGACTGGTGACAACCTTAAGCTTGTCCTAGACCAATCTGCAGGTATATAGTTATATTGTAACACCATAACTACAAAATCAATCCATTTTAGTCTACATTTCATGAGACACTTGATAAAAAAACACGTAAAACTGTTTTTTTTTCTTCTTTTTTTTTTATTTCTTTTGTAGGATCTGCTATCCGATCAAAGGTGGCTCATTTGTTTGGAAGCGTAGAAATGTTCCTCAAACTTGTGCCTGGGGATTCTGCTGGAACCGTTGTAGCCTATTACGTAATAATTTATCTTCAACTCGATAGAATTACAAACAAAAATATAGAACTAACGCACGCAATTCTTTTATATATAGAAAATTTTTTTTAGTATTTTTGTGATTTTGATGATGGATACTTTTTCTGTAGTTATCATCTACGGGAACTGCACACGATGAGATAGACTTTGAGTTCCTAGGAAATGCGACTGGTGAGCCGTACACGATCCACACCAACTTATATGTTCAAGGGAAAGGAAACCGAGAGCAACAATTCCGGCCATGGTTCAACCCGACCACTGGTTTCCACAACTATACCATCCATTGGAACCCATCCGAAATTGTGTAAGTAATTAATTAGACTAGGACGCTTTCTTAAGTCGAGTTTATTAAAACGCCAAACAATGCTAAGAAATGGTTTCTAGCAATTAAATACCATATAAAAACATAATATCTAGATAGTTGGTTTGTTAATGTAAAACAACATTAAAGTACACACACTCATATACATAAAACATAATCCAATCAAAAATATGTTTAACTTACGTTTTTTTTTTCTATAACTAAACATGTCACACATCATACTATATATCTTATAGGTGGTTCGTCGATGGAACTCCGATCAGAGTTTTTAGGAACTACGAGAAAGAAGGAATCGCATACCCGAACAAGCAAGGTATGAAAGTGTTTGCCAGTCTATGGAACGCAGACGATTGGGCAACACAAGGAGGTCGAGTGAAGACTAACTGGACGCTAGCACCATTTGTGGCCGAGGGTCGTAGGTACAGGGCAAGAGCTTGCTTGTGGCAGGGATCAGTCAGCATCAAGCAATGCGCAGACCCAACTGTGCCGTCTAATTGGTGGACATCACCATCGTTTAGCCAGCTCACTACTTTGCAGCTCACAAAGATGCAAAAGATAAGAGATGGTTTCATGATCTATGATTATTGCAAGGACACTAACAGGTTTGGAGGTGTTATGCCTCCTGAATGCTCGAAGCAGCAATTCTAATTAAAGTTTCTTCTTCCTTTTTTTTAATAATTTATTTTTCTGAATTTCTTTCTCGATCGTAATCTGTTTTTTTTTTTTTGGGATTTTGGTGTGTGTCTTTGATTCGTAATTTGTGCAATCATAATGAAGAAGGAGAAGTTTGTGTTTTTTTTACAAAAAAGTATCAGAATCCTATTAAGAAACCCCAAATTCAAAAGCTAAAACCCTACGTGGATTATACAAAATGGTAGAAGAAGAACTAGTGGATTTATTATAGAAAGTAGAAAGTCCATCGCTCCTACGTGGCAATGATACTTCTGTCCACGTCACCCAAACATAAAAATTCTTAGCCTTACTAGATGACATAAATTACGTTAAGGCCCCTAATGTCTCGTCTATTCGCAAATTTCAATCTTCGAATTCAAAGAAGCAAAATAGCCCTAAATTCATATCTCTATCCCTTGCGCATGATCCAGATTCGGTTGTGATCGGAGCTACCATGGAACGTATCATCGGCGGCAAGTACAAGCTCGGCCGGAAGATTGGCGGTGGTTCCTTTGGAGAAAATTTTCTGGGTGTGTTCTCGTCCTTTTGTCTCTTGAGTGTTATTTTTTTCTTTGATTTGAAATTGACGTGCCATGTTTGTTGTTTCTCAGCTATGCACGTCGATACCTTCGAGATTGTAGCTGTTAAGATCGTAAGTTTCAATTTAATTAGCTATGAGACGAATCTATTCTGGGATTTTTGTCTTTTAGTTGGTTCGTGTGGGTCTTTGAATTGATTCAACTCTAAATTCATCAGTGAGGCAAGCTTCAAGCTCCTTGAAATGGTAGCGGACAATTGTCTTTAACTCGATCATATGGATTGTTTTGCAGGAGAACAGTAAAACAAAGCATCCTCAACTTCTCTATGAAGTCAAGCTATACAGAATTCTTGAAGGAGGAAGGATGCTTCTCATTCTCTAGTTGTTGGTTTGAAATTGGAGGGATTATCGGTACAATGCTAATTTTGTGTTATGTGTCTACAGGTGGAATTCCGCGCATGAGATGGTTTGGAGTTGATGGAACAGAAAATGCTCTAGTGATGGATTTGTTAGGGCCAAGTCTCGAAGATCTATTCGTGTATTGTGGGAGGAAATTTTCACCAAAGACAGTCTTGATGTTGGCTGATCAAATGGTATAGCATGAGTTTAATTTATTCCCTAATTACATTTGTTGCGTCTGGTTATGTTTACATGCTAATCATTTCTCTTGATTTATACATTGATCATCTTATGTGCTTACGATTTTCTTATTCCGATGTTACAGCTAACGAGAATAGAATTTGTACATTCCAAAGGATACCTGCACAGAGATATCAAACCAGATAACTTTCTCATGGGCCTTGGCCGGAAAGCGAATCAGGTTTATCTGATTGACTTTGGACTTGCCAAAAGATATCGTGATGCCAGCACCAACCACCACATCCCGTATAGGTATTTGTGGCCATGATTCATTATATTGTGTCTACCTTGTATTTCATCTGTAGGTGGTAAATTATCTATTACGTTACAAGTTTATAAGGTCACATTACAACTTATTACCTTTTATTTGGCTGTATTCAGGGAAAACAAAAATTTAACAGGAACTGCACGGTATGCAAGTTGCAATACACATCTTGGTATTGGTAAGAAATGCTGCCCTTTTTTTTCTCCTCTGCGAAGTAAATCGTCTTTGCTCATATATTTTGGTTTCTCTTTCACAGAGCAAAGTCGACGGGATGACTTAGAGTCTCTTGGATATGTCCTTCTCTACTTCTTAAGAGGAAGGTGTGTTGACTTTTTGACTTTTAAGAAACTATTTAACATTGTGTTTTTGGTTATTCCTTGTTTGAGATTTTTACTTAACCGTTTTTTTGCTTTACAATGTGTTCCTATTTTAATGAACCTCCTTTTTCTAGCCTTCCATGGCAGGGTCTTAAGGCGGTTGACAAGAAGCAAAAATATGACAAAATTTGTGAAAAGAAGATATCAACTCCGATTGGGGTCTCTTTCCCTCGACCTGCATGAGAGAATTGTGCTTTCTTAACCCTCATTCAACTGAATATTATATCCCATCCTTTGCAGGTTCTATGCAAAAACCACCCCGTGGAGTTTGCTTCATATTTTCATTATTGCCACACACTGACATTTGATCAACGCCCTGATTATGGATTCTTGAAGCTGCTTTTTCGTGATTTATTCTTACGGGAAGGTACTTCGAAAAAAACATCTCTCAATCATTTTTATAATGAAAGGATTGACCAGCATTAGTTACCTACCAAGCTCACTTAAAACGTTTTCTTCTTTGCAGGATATGAGCTCGACTTTATATATGACTGGACTATTATAAAGTATCAGCAAGCACAGAAAACTAAAAATCAGTCTCAGGTATAGCTTATCAATACCATTTGTTTTTTGGTTTTCAGGTGTATGCATAGTTTGTCTCTTTCATAGAGAAGATTCCTTGGCGATAAGTTTTACTTGGTTTTGCTGGTTTTACCTTTAGTGTTAGTTTTGGTCGTAAATATAGATATGCCAGTTTTTCTAATCATGAATTGTCATACTGCAGGCAGTTCCTGGGTCTAGTAATGTGCGTGCAATGCCACTGGATACAAGTAATCATCGAGGTCAGCGCTAGTTAATGATTTTAATTGTGTCACTTTCTGATCAATTTTAATATAGTATTTTTGAGAGATGATGTGTTGTTTTCTCTCTACTTTCATACTTGACTCGACCAAGATTGAATAAGTCTGTCTGGCATAGAGTGTCTGGCTGATTTAGTTTCGCTTTGCAAATGTTCATTTCAATATCTCTGTTGTGTTGATGCTAACTCTCCGTTTGACAGGAGGAACTAATATTTCACATGAAGCACAAGTCTCTGACCGTTTAAGATCGGCTAATGCCAATGGTCCCCGCCCACAGATTAATACCGCTACAGGGAGGAGTCTGGGTTTTGATCAAGTCCACAAGAATGTACGTGCTTATGCATTTGCCTCTTCCAAATAAATGTTGTATTCTGCAACCATCCCCTTGTGTTAGCATCTCATGCCTGCATCTTTGTTGCTTCAGAGTTTTGAATGGTCAATTGTCATCAACGAGCTATTTAATGTGATATGAGCTATATAACATAAATTATTGAAACATGATACTGATCATCACGAAGAATGCCCTTGACCGTTATTTTGCTGATAACCCATTGCAGATGAATATGCCTTCCACTTCATTATCTCCTGCGGGTACCTAAAAAAAATAATGTCAGACCCGAAACTGGGTTTGGGAGTGGGAACAGAACCGGCGGCTGGACTTCATCATTCATATCTCCGGGGAAATGATGCAAAAAATAGTTGTCGTTTTTCATTTGTCTGATGTGCTGAGCAAGATTATGTGTGCCTTTGGGGCACTAAACTGTGATTTCTGGCTCTGCAGTGGAAAGCTCTACTAAACGAGGTTGAAGATTTGAATGGAATTTTCCCATGAACAGCCTACTGTTTGGCACAAGGCAAGAAAGATTATGTATGTTTTGCTTCAAGATTCTCCCAAATGACTGACTTCAACCTTTGTATAAAATCTTGCAACCGGGCATGTAATTTGGTTCTTGTGATTCATTCTCCTTAGTTTATTTATTTATTTTAAACTCACTATGTTCATATTTCTGGGCACAGTTCCCTGAGTTGGGGCATAACCTGGGTTTGCTGAGTTATCAACATTCTTTGCAGAAAATCAAAAGCAAAGCTTGAGTAGAGATGATGTGTTCAAAGGTTTGAGTCAAGAGCTTGGTTGCTTGTGGCAGGGACAGGTCAGCATCATATGCTATGGTTATTGCGAAGATACTAACAGGTTTAAAGGTTTTAGCTTCTGGAATGGTCCGAGAATCACTTGTCTTTTTTTTTTTTCTGAACTTTGTATTCAGTTTAATGGGATGCTGTGTGTTTGATTTTTCTTAGTCGATGTTGTGCAATGAAAAAACTTGAATAATTACGACAGCCGAAGCTGATCAGTTTGCGGACCGTAAAATTTGGTCAGCAACGATGTTGTGTTCAGAAATCAAACAGTAAAAATTACATCTTCATCAATCAAAAAACAATGTGTAAATTTTCCTTTTGTAGAAAATTCTAATCAAATCTTGAAGTGCAAACACATTGATGATTTGACGATTAAGAGAAGTAGATTTTGTTAGCTAGCTAAGATTTTGGAACTTTGATCACTTGCAGCCCCCAAAAAAGGAAATCATCAATGCGAAATTACGCTAATACCCTCGTGCTAAGGTAAAAAGGTTGGCGGACCCATAATGGTGCCGTAGTTAGGTGTACATATACTATTTTGGAAGGATGACTACTACGGCTCAAGCCCGGGTCCATGTCAGTCAAAACAAAAATAATAATATATGTTTTATGTCTAAAAGACTCAAAACAACAACCCTAAATCCTTATCTCTATCATTGCGCATGATCCAGATTCGTTTTTGATCGGAGCTGCCATGGAACGCATCATCGGCGGCAAGTACAAGCTCGGCCGGAAGATCGGCGGTGGTTCTTTCGGAGAGATTTTTCTAGGTTTGTCCTTGTCCTTTGGTTTTTCGAGTTTGCTCTTTGATTTGAAAATTGACGCTTCTTCTGTTTGTTGTTTTCGCAGCTACGCACGTCGATACCTTCGAGATCGTAGCTGTTAAGATCGTAAGTTCCTTGTTCGATTCGCTATGAGACGAATTGAATCCATTCTGGAGATTTGATTTGGATCTCTTCTGTCTCTTAAATTGATTTTGTTTTGAATTGATTAGCTCTTAAATTGATCACTTAAGCAAGGTTTAAGCTCGGTGCTTTGTAGCTGCAATATTTTCTTCGAGCTAACGATTGTCCTTAATTCAACTTTTTTTTTGTATTGCAGGAGAACAGTAAAACAAAGCATCCTCAACTTCTCTATGAAGCCAAGCTATATAGAATTCTTGAAGGAGGAAGTATGCTTCTCATTCTCTAGTTGTTGGTTTACGTTGATTATCAGTTACAATGCTAATTTTGTGTTATGTGTTTGTTTTCTGAAGGTGGAATTCCGCGCATAAAATGGTTTGGAGTGGATGGAACAGAGAATGCTTTAGTGATGGATTTGCTAGGGCCAAGTCTCGAAGATCTATTCGTGTATTGTGGGAGGAAATTCTCACCTAAGACAGTCTTGATGTTGGCTGATCAAATGGTATGGCATGAGTTTTCAACTAATCATTTCTGTTGACTGATACACTGATCATCTAATGTGCTTACGGTTTTCTTATTCCGATGTTACAGCTGACAAGGATAGAATTTGTACATTCCAAAGGATATCTGCATAGAGATATAAAACCTGATAACTTCCTCATGGGCCTAGGTCGGAAAGCAAATCAGGTATATTTCTGCTATTTCTTGTCTGTTTCAGATGCCATAAGAAGAGGATGGTATGATTGATAAGTTTCAGTTATCAGGTTTATCTAATTGACTTCGGACTTGCTAAAAGATATCGTGATGCCAACACCAACCGCCACATCCCTTACAGGTAATTTGTCGCCTTGGTTCATTATATTGTTTGTACCTTGTGTTTCTGCTGCAGATGGTAAATGATCTATCTGTTTTGAAGTTTTAAGGTCACATTATTCAACTGATTTCCTTTCTTTGGCTATATTCAGGGAAAACAAGAATTTAACAGGAACTGCACGATATGCTAGCTGCAATACACATCTTGGAATTGGTAAGGAATAATGCCATTCTTTATCCTTATGTAAAGTAAATCGCCTTTGCTCACATATTTTGGTTTCTTTTTCACAGAGCAAAGTCGACGGGATGACCTAGAATCGCTGGGATATGTGCTTCTGTATTTCTTAAGAGGAAGGTGCGTTGGTTTTTTGAAAGAAACTGGTTAACATTGTGTTGTTTCGCAGGGTATTTTTATTCCTTGTTTTTTTTTAGATTTACTTGACTATTTTTGTGTTCCTCATTTCATGAACTTCTTTTTCCAGTCTTCCATGGCAGGGTCTTAAGGCTGTTGACAAGAAGCAAAAATATGATAAAATCTGTGAGAAGAAGATATCAACTCCTATTGAGGTCTGTTTCCCTCTAGTGTGATGGATTTTTTTTTGTTAATCCTCATTCGACTAAGTATCGATATCCCATCCGTTGCAGGTTCTATGCAAAAATCACCCTGTGGAGTTTGCTTCATATTTTCATTACTGCCACACACTGACATTTGATCAGCGCCCAGATTATGGATTCTTGAAGCGGCTTTTTCGTGATTTATTTTCGCGGGAAGGTACTTTGGATAAAGACATCTCTTCATCATTTATAACTCCCTCAGTTGTTAGGATTCACCAGCATCAGTTACCTACCTCACTATTAAATGTTATCTTTTGCAGGATATGAGTTCGACTATATATTTGACTGGACTATTATAAAGTATCAACAAGCACAGAAATCTAGAAATCAGTCTCAGGTATAGTTTTCAATGTTTTTTCTCAATCTTAATTTGCTGCTGTGTCACATTTCTTGTTACTAACAAAAAGTATTGTCATTTCTACTGCAGGCAGTTCCTGGGTCTAGCAATGCTCGTGCAATGCCAATGGACACAAGCAATCATCGGGGTTAGCTCTAGTTAATAGCTTGTTTGGTTTGTTGTTGCAATTTTTATCTCTGTTTTCTTGACGCTCTGTTTGGCAGGAGGACCAAATATTTCTTATGAAGCCGAGGCCTCTGAACGCGTCAGATCAGCTAATGCCATTGGCCCACAGATAAATAATAATACTGCTGCAGGAAGGACTCTGGGGTTTGATCACCCTGTCCACAAGAATGTACGTTTGCCTCTTCGCTTTTGTTAGCATGTCCTGTTTGCAAATGTGTTGCTTTCAGAACTCTTCATGGTTCCCTGAAAAAAATATAACCAGTTTTGCACTGTCAGTTGTCATGAACTATTGAAATAATAAAACAATAATATTGATCTTCGAGATGAGTGCCCTTGACTGTTTATTTTGCTGAAATCCCATTGCAGATGAACATGCCATCCACTTCAGTATCTCCTGCGGGTACCTCAAAAAGAAATGTCGGACCTGAGATCTCAAATTCTGGGCATGGGAGTGGGAATAGAACCGGCTGGACTTCCTCATTCATGTCTCCAGAGAAATGATGCAAAGAAAATGTAGCTTTATTCTGAAACGGTGAGTGAGATTATGCGCTGTTACTGTGAGGCATGCTCTTATTGCACCTCTGCAACTACAGCAGAAATCAGAACTCGGTGTCACTAACACCTTTGTATCTCCTCCACCTTTGGCTGGAAGAAAAATGCAAATGGTTTCTATGTAAATTCTCTGAAGTGTGTGGACAAGAAGGCGTTGGTTGAAGCATTTGTGTTTACACACACAAGACATGAAGTGTATGTTTGCTTTTTCATTCAAGATTTTCCCCAACCTTTGTATAATTCTTACACCCGGATGTGTAGTCTTTGTTATGTGATTCATATATATCATTTTTTAGCTACTCTGTTCTATGTGACCAGTAACCTTGTGCTGCAGCTCGATATATGTATACATGTTTAATGGATAGCAACATTCTTTGCAGAAATCCAGAGCCAAGCAGTGCACAGGAAAGATTTTGAGAGTCAACATGGGATTTGAATAACTCGAGAGATAACGAGTAAGAAACTATTCTGGGAAAGAATAAAATGTTTTGAGAGCTCATGAAGGCTGAAGCCAGTCGAAAGACAAAGTTTTGTATTGGCTTAGGTACAACCGCCTGCGTTTCTGCGGTATCAGACAGCACAATTTGATGCGCTGTTTGTATGTATATTGCAGCTGTAATGGAAACTTATCTTAGGCCATAAGGGAAGATCCAATTGTGTAAACTAAAGTAAGTTTGTCTTAAATTTCTTTCATCATAATGTTTTAAAATGTAAGTATTTATATACATACTCTTCAAAATTAGTTTATAAATATCTCCATTTTTCTTTTAATTGTCAAAATTGAAATCAAATCTAGACAGAACCAATACAAAAATTAAATTGAAAGATATATTTAACTAAAAGTTGAATTAAGCTACATCATTATTATTTTTTAAACGAAAAATTGAACCGATACCAACTCCAATGGAGATTGAATTCACTAAAGACAGGGCCTTTAATCTTACCCTTTTTTCCTTCTCTTCTAAAATCGGTCCATATTCAACCTAATACACCTATCATATAAAATAGTTTCGTTAGGTTTCAATTTAATAATTTATATTAAATTTCGTATCCATTCATAATCGTCATAAGTTGAATTGGACCACATGATGATACGTACGTATGATGCAATGCGTTCCTTTTTACATAACAACAATCTTTGGCCTCATTTACCTATTTCGTATTATTATATGTTCTTTGAATCGTTTCCATATTTATATTTAAGAAATATTTCAAATCTCAAAATAATTAATTTCTTTTTTGTCAAGTATTTCAACATGGTTAATGACAACGAAAATTTACACTATTATAGAGAAATGAATTCGTGATGAATTGCCAAATTAGTCTTGAATTATAACCAACTTGTAAATATTTCGATAGCCAAGACTTGAGTGTACATAATGAGAAATAGATCTCTATTTACACATTACAAAACAGCTTGCCAAAACATGTTAATGATTCTCAAATGTCGAAATGAGATCTATACACATGTAAATTAGTTGAATATTATTTTCAAATATTTTACGTGAAAATTCACATCATAGAACCTCAAAACGAATTAACATCATACAAACTTAAAAAGGGGCTGCTACACTTGAAGCATCCCAGGTTCTATCGTGATCTCCTTCGTTACAAAGTTAAAAGAAGTTCCAAAATGAGCCATGAAAAAGAGAAGAAGGTGTTCCACTTAATTTAAGGACTATTGTATGCTTATATATGCACTATGCACTATGCAGGACAAAATATACATTTATTTTAAGTTCAGTGGCATATAAATATATTACAAAGAAAAAATCAGAGTCAGAATCCCACAACAGATAATCATAAATATATCTATATGGTTGGGCATATAATATCATAATTGAAAACTGGAAAAAGAAAGTAAAACAATCAAAAGGAAATTGCTAGGCCTGGAAATTCAAATTTGCGAATGTAGTGTTTGTATGAAATTAAAATAACATTATAAGTAGTTAGTTGACCTACTAAATATGTATTTTTGTAATCAATTACATGATTTAGTACTGTTCGTCCAAATTAAATATATACAATATTGTCAAGAGACAAAACCAAAAGGGTAGTTTACTTTATTTTTAATGAAAAAAAAACCTAAATGAATAGAGTTGTAAGCAATGATTCATATGTATGTGTATATATATGATGCAGTCATAACAAAACCAACTTTATTTGTAATAGTCGTGTATAATACATGTTGAACAAAAAATTTGCAGTAATAACAATGAAACTGAAAATGAGAGTGGTTGCTTCTGTAACCAGGTAAGCTGACATGTTCCACTTATTGAAAACAATTATTGTGCTCTTTTTAAAATAAAATCCACCAATAATTCAATCAATTATATATTATGAGTCAAAGCTTTGTTTATATATAAATCCATCTTATTTACAAAAATCATCTTCTTTTTGAGTTAACTAACATGTATAACTTTAATTAAAAGAATTCTCTAATCAAAACTTGTACGTATCTACTAATTATGGGCCAATAATCTCGAATTTTCTGGTTAACAAAAAAAAAAAAAACATAACTAAAGAAAAATTGAATCTGAAAAAGAATTACAATTCTTGAAGAAAAATAAAGAAACTATACATCAAAGTGTTGGTGTGTCGTGTTAATTTGATTTCTTTTTTCTCTGTTAGCAAACCATTGAGCGGTTTTTCTAGCGATCGGCAGCCATAAACGCCGTCTTCTCTCCTCCGTCTCATTTCCACCGTTTTGTAACGCAGACGCAGTCCCTGCGGCTGAACCGCTGCAATCTCTATGAACCGATATACTGAGTCTAGGAACCGCAGTGATATCAGACACCGATCTTCGTCCCGGTTCGATCATAACACTTCTAGATTTCGAACCAGAGTCTCCGTTTTCCGGCGAAAACATAGTTTTCATCGAAGTTAACTTGTTCTCCAACATTCTCTTCGCTTCCATCTCTTCCTTGATCCGCAAGATACCTATCTGGTCCTCTTCATCCCCTCTCTTCGCTCGATCAATCGACAAAAATCTCTCACTAGAAATCGAATTAACCATCTCTGAATTCAAAAACATCAAATCAGACGAACTCACGTTGCTCCAACGATTCTTAAAAACAACATCCGACACAACGATCCTATGATTGAACTTATGCATAAGCTTCTTCTCGTCTTTATCGCTGTTCCCGTGTTCATCAAGTAACGTTTTTTCTTTATTACCTAATTTCAGAATCTTCCTAAAACTCTCTCCGATGCTAAATCTCGACGACCCACCAAGTTCGTCTCTCTGTCTTCTATCTTCTTCTTCTTCTCTCTCTATGTAAAGCTCCAAGCTCGAATCTTCTCTAATCTCAGACTGATTCAAGAACCTGAAACTATTTCCGTTAGAGAAAACAGAGGAATCTTCTTCCATGGAGACTCTATCTCTGCAGAGAGGACACGTTGCGTGTTGCTCAAGCCACTGATCGATACATCCGATGTGGAAAGCGTGTCTACACTTAGGCAACAATCTAAGAATCTCAATACTTTCGAATTTAGACAAACAAACAGAACAATCAAGCCCTTGTTTTGATCCTTTCAAAGCAGAGAATCTAAACAGAGGAAGAGACTCGATTGCTGTTTTGTCTAAACCGGAGAATCGATCCGATGAAGTCGTTGACCGGTTAAAGAATATTCCTTGGCGGAGCCGACGATCATGCCTTCTTCTGTCGCCAGAATCTGATCGGAGATCGATGTGGCAGCACTTAGCGTAGACGAGGAGGACGAACGTGAGTGCGAACATGATAGCGAGAACTCCGGTGACGACGGCTAAACTCGGCTCGAAATTGGCGACGAGGTCACCGTTTCTGAACGGAGGAGGAGGCTGAGCATAGACATGGGGGTAACTGTGGAGGAGTGGAAGAAAGAAGAAGAAGATTTGATACATCGGAGCGATTTGAGAGAAACTTTGTTTCTTGATTTTCTTGGGTTTGAAATATTTTTATTGGAGATGAAAATGGTGAAAATTGAGCTTATGTTAGAGAAAGTGATTTGTTTTTATTTTATTTTATGAAAGATATAAATTAATACAATTACGTCATCTACGTGACAACAATTTGTATGCTATTGCTTTTTTTTTTTTATAATAAAAATGTTAGAGCATCTCCAATGGAGAGCTCTCTTCATGAGACTCTCTTAAATATTTTAATATAAATTTTGTGAAAATGTGAGATGAGAACTTTTGTTTTTTTTTTTTTTAATTTTTCATAGTCCAATGGTGAGTTCTCAAGTGGGATTCTCTTAAAAAAAAAATTATTAAAAATTTTATTTCATAAAACTTAAATTATTGCAATTTATAAAAATATTAAACATTCATTGTTTTAAAACATTTATAAATAGATGTGCAAAAACAAAACCGGAATAACGATTAGTTGTACTGTGGATTGTTGCGAAATTTTTGCATATATCCACATATTCTTAGAGATTAAAGATCATTTTCATACATCATTTCTTTTATAAACTAGGTCTAGTGTATATATTTTGAATTTATACTGTAAATTTAGTATCATCAACGACGATTTTCATTTTGTTGAGAGAGAAAAAGATCACTGCTACAAACTGATTGGTGACTTGATCTTATTTTGTGATTGTTCATGCCAAAGCTTGTGTCACCATAATCTTATTTTGTGAATTGCTTAGCTATGTCTAATATCAGATGATTAAAATTAGCAATATCACTGCAACAATTATTCCATAAGACACTGAAGAAAGAGGAATCACAATGCAGAAAAAGACTTGTGAGTTGGGTCAATAGACATGCTCAGCTATTAGCATTAGCCTATGCTTGCTTCTCTTTGTAGTCTCTGACCGCAGACATGATAGCGTCCTCTGCAAGCATACTGCAATGTAGCTTAACGGGTGGCAACCTTAGATGCTTTGCGATTTTCCTGCAAATTTGAGAATCCCAAACAGTGACTCAACCATCAAAACGTTCACCATATCACTACATGAATATAAGCATGAAACATTGAGCATTCCTCTTCTATGATAAATCGACATATAACAATAACCAAGACCAATGATAAACTAGAAACAAGAACAATGGTATATAGGAATATAAACATGAAGCATTAATCGTTGACCATACTAAATCACAAGAACTCGTGCATTGTGTGAAACAACTTGTTTTCAGAATCATCAATCCCACGAAACTAGAACTGGATTCAATACACAATCGGAGAATCGAAAAATTCGCTTCAACTAATCAACAATTGGTACTAAAAAACAATGATTCATCACTCATTCTCTAAATTTTCAAATCCAGAATCAAATCCACAAAACCTATAACCACCTAATTCGTATCTGTAAGCAATCAAATCAAATAAAACTGACCTTTCCAAGAGTATAAGCCAAAGCAGAACCAGCAACACCAGCTCCAATATTCATACTTCTTCTCTCATCAACAGATGCTCCATCTAGCGTCTCGCTCATGGCTCTCATTGCCACAACATCGACATGATCCTTGGATCCGCAGGATTGATTGCAGTACACCAAACATACAAAACAAATACAAGAATAGCCTGCAACACACATGATACATAAAAAGAACATGTAAGATACAATTAATGATCCTATAATGTGTGTGTGGTTTAAATCCTAAAATTCAAGTCGCTAAACCGGTTTTCCAAACTTTAAACTAGCTTGAGAAGCAGTAAACATACCACAGGAGAGTAAACACCGATCAAAACGTATTCCCAAATACGACCTCCAACAAAAGGAGCGAAGAAAGCATAGAAAGCGACCACCAACAAGCAAAACACCGTAATTGCAATCACCCGAGAGAAAAATACACAAAACCCAATTGAAATCACAGCCAATTGTGACTTCATATTGACCAGATTCTAGAAAGCAATCATGGAAAATCGAAGCTTTGGCTATAGAGAAGGTTACATTCGATCTTTACCTGAAGAGTGTGAGCGGGAAGTTGCCAACCGTGTTTCCTCACCATACCTTCTTCTTCAACAACAACAAGCCAAGAAAGATAAACCCTAATTTTACGACAACGTCTCCGTCACGTTGCCGTCGCCACCGCCGGAGCGATTAAGTGAAAAGTGTTGATGCTCGCAGAAAAAAGAAAACGAAATCTGCGTCGACTCATCGGAAACTCACGAAATTGGCGTTTGTTCATCACTTCCTTTGATCGCAATCGCGAGATCGAGAGAGAGAGAGTCGTGTTTCTTGTTTTTGTCGAGAGAGAAAAAAACAAAAAACAAATGAGAGTTTTTTTTTTCTTTTGTTTAAATGCTTCCTCCAACCAATAAATGACACGTATGCAACTCTCTGAAAATCTCAAATTTCTCTTAAGAGAAGCGATTCTCTTTTGTTTACCCAGTTTTGAATTATTTTTGATCAAAATAATCAAGAGAAGTCATCAAAAAATTGGAAAGAACTTCCCTTTGGAGATGCTCTTATTCTCTTCATTTAATTAAAAAAACAATTTTATCTTTCGGTGGGCTGTTATTTTCAGACCTCATTTTGATGATATTTAGGACTACCATATATAATACCAGTCGGAACTTATTTTTCATTATATAAAATTACAATTTGCGTCACACTTTTGGAGGGATATTTTTGTTTGGTTTTGGTCTACAACTATAAGAAAGTACAAATAAAGCCAAATCTCTTTTCAATTCGGTTCGATATTTGTTTTTGTCAGATGATTTTTTTTTTTTTACATCTTTGAATCGATAAGCCCGATCCATAGCCAATCCCTATTACGCGGAGTAACGCGACTTAGTAGAATCAAACTCCGGTGGAGAAACCACTTGACTAAAGTCAGATGATTTAGATTTTGCAATTTAACAAAATTATTTTTAGGGTTTTCATTACTTGACTTATTTATGTCTGATCTTCCTATTTTTTTAAAACACAGTGAATCACATACCAAATTTTTAATACACATTTCTAGATCGTTCGTTCAAGTCATTTTGGTTTGATTGATGTAGTAAAACAAGTAGTGGAATCCTTGGTTTAAATTTTCTCAATCATGGCTTTTTGAATATATTTATATAAACGGAAGATAAGCTAAAGTCGAAATTAATTTCCAAAACATGTGAAAGCGTCGAATATATTTTCTAGTTTCTACTGAAAGCATCAACATGACCAACCATAACTTAATTGCAATAGTGGGATTCGTACCATGGGTTTCTTTTGTTCCTTCACGTACCATGGGTTTCTAACTTCAGGATAAGTGTTTCAACCATGAACCACTATGAATTTGTTTGCAGATTATTGTGAGAAGTCATTTAATCTCCAATTATGGCTTCATAATTAATGAATATTTTCGTATAATAAAACTAAGAAGGATTGCCATGGTTGTACATAGAACTACTAGTTTATTATTTGTGACAAAGCTACTAATAACCATGACAATGTTATATTATAAATGTTAATGAATCGTGACAGATTAAATAAGAAAAAGTCAACGACCAGCTGCACAAAATTCCGGTGGGGAAAAATAAAGTCAAAATTTGCAATTTTCATGATTGAGTGATGGCTTCGATGCATTACTATTTTAGTCTTTCAGTTATTTCACAAACTAATGATCTAGTATTAGATTTGTTTCAGTGAATAACTTAATTCTTATTTTTGAGCATTTGTACGCTGATACATTGGTAACATTATCACTTTATTAACTAAGAGTTTGACATTGTTCTTGTAGGTTTTCTGTATAACCGTATCTTCTATACTACATTACATGGTAATTGAAGTTCTTGCCGTCGTTAGTAGTCAAATTTAACGTCGTTCCTATATCATTTTATCAAAATCAAAGTACATGTTTTTTTTTTTACCAAAATAGTTATTTTGATTTTATCCAAAGAGAACAAATGACTCCGATAATGTTGTGGTTATATATAATTTCCTTTCAACCAAAAAAACAGAAGGAAAAGAAGAGGCTTACATAAGACTGAGATGAAGAACAAAACAAGAAGAAGGATTACAACAACATAGCAGAAAGCTCCGTTAAAAACTTTGGCTTGAGAATTTAATCAGAACGAGCGACTAAACATAATAAAATGTATGTTCCAAAAAGAAACTCATTACAAACCCCTTCCATTTGTTTACATGATTTCAGACATTTTTCCCGGCGGCGAATTTTCAGCTGTGAGCTGACGCGGTAGTCATTCCCATGGATGATTCTGGGCTAACGAATTCCTCGCTTGCGTGCCGTACAAACTCCTCTGGCGACATATGCGAGCCGTGGCAAGCGCATACGATTTTGATCTGGTTTGCATTGTACCGGTATGTGACACCTGAGATTGTCCGACCGTGCGGGCCTGAACCAGTGGTTGAGACCCATGGTAGGTTAGGACGTGCCCCCGATCCTCCAAACTTCACATCTGCAGCCATTCCGGGTTTTATGGCGGAAAAGTCGAAAGAGAAAGCGGTATTGTTGTTGTTGTTGTCTCCTGTTGGCCGCTCTGATGCATCCTCAGATGAACCTTCTTCTGCAACAGGCTGTTTGCCCTCGCCTTTCGCAGTAGCTTTTTGGGAGACAGAAAACGAAAAGTTACTATTTTTGCTGTAAGAGTTCTAAACAGTTTTAAGGGAAAGGTTTGCTTACCTGAGGAGTTTGATGGACCTCTTCCAGCAAATGGAGATTGAGAAAGGGCGACAATCCCGCCTGAACCGTCCTTATCTAGCATAGGGAGCTGGACCGGTGAGTATCCAAACATAATTGGGAGATTTCCAGCACTAGCATTAGGCTGCAATAGACTTGTAGCTGCTTCGTGTTGTCCAGACTCTTTTGTCGGTAAAGAGAAAGGCATAGTAGTGACGACATTTTGCGGATGAACCGTGAAAGGTACAGTGTAACTCATGTTGCGCATTGTAAACTCTTCGGTGCCAGATCCGCCATGGTTGCTCCTTCTTTGACCGGTTAAGTTGTCCACAACGTTTGTATCAGGGGGAGGACGAACCACCTCCTTTGCGTGGTTGGAAGAAGAACCACCACCTACTTCAGACTCTGCTACATCTTCGTTATCAGCTGTTGATCCTTCATCTGTCGCGGTTGAAACATGGGATGCTTTTGTCTTCTTCTCATGCATATCAACATGTGACGAGTCCTTGTCTTTCTTCTTTTCATCATTCATCCCCGGGAACCCAAACTTTCTTTTGTTTCCAGCTTCTTTCCGTGTCTCATCCTCCACCCACAAAGATTTCGTGGAAGCTTCACCGTCAGTGATAGGAGCTTTTGAGAGGTCATTGAAGAAATTCTGCTGAGGTTGTTGACCCGAATCGCTTCTCTGAGAACCAGAACTCGGCTCTGCAGGTCGTTGAGAAGTTGGATGCAGGAAATTCTTAAAGTCATCAATCACTTTAGCGCTTCTATCACCTCCTTCTGCCCTGTGGTTCTCTGAGGAGCTTCCAGCATTATTAGTATTGTTACCCTTAGCTTTTGCTGATGATCCTCCACAAGAAAGACCCAAGCTGAGCTCGAGCCCATTATCATCCTCCATTTTTCTCTCAAACTTTAAAGCAAACACTGAGCAGCTCAACGGATCTTAAGAGTATCATCTGAGAAAAATACATCATGGGCACAAAAGGACTTCATTATCCAAAGCTAACAAATGGTTTCTAAATACAAGAAACAGATAATTTCTTGCCAAATCAATCCTAGTAATCAAGAAACCAGAACCCTCAGAAACCTCGGATTGTACCTTAGAAACAAAACCATTGAAAGACACAATCCAGCAATTTCCCAGAATCCGCCTTCTCGCTTCTATGATACACCTATAGAGTTCTGTGACAAGAAGAAAAAAAAGACTTAGGTTTCGGGAAAAAACCATTCATCATTTCCATTTTGAAGAAGTAAACTAAAATGGAAACAAAGGAAAGAGAAACACTCTCACTTGTATATCTCAGCTAACAAAAAGAAAACAGAGAGATAGTACAAGATCTAGTAACTTAAGAACACTCTACTATGCAGATCTGTCAGCTACATCATGAAATCAAATTCACGAAACTTAATCACTTCAAATTTCCAAACTCTAAAGATCGAAATCATCAAGAAGAAACCCAGAACCCTAACTACGCAGCAATAGTGCCAAAATTAGAGCGAATCACAATAAACCGAATAAAAGCCGAAATCAGAATCGAAGGAGAAGTCGAAAAACCTGATGAAACCACCGAGGAAGAAGACGATCAGAAGAAAAACCCTAGAGCTTCTTCGCGGCGATTGGGGCTTCGGGTTCGGACTAGTACGGACCATTTCCTTTTTCTTTCGTAATAGTAATTACTATTTTATTATAAACTACTAGTTTCGATTTTGTCCATGTGTATCTTGTGCATTTTCTTTCTTTTTTTCTTTCTGTAGCTTTTTGGAATCACGTACACCATACCTGTATGAAATCAATTTATATGTAACAATTACTTCAACTAGATTTTATTCATTGTGTAGAAACTAGAAGAGGATTTGGGGGTAAACTCTTTATTATTTATTATTGATCTCAAGAAAGTTGATACAATATATATATAAACTAATTTAGGTTTAACCTAATTAGAATAGGAAATAGATAAACATGAATAAGTAAATATTCTAAATCTCTTAATCCTTATCACAATATGATATCTAGAATATTCATCGGCTTGAGCTTCACGGGTTAACTTCATAAACGGACTTTGACGGTCCACAATAGTTGGTCCGCAAGGTACACATTTTGCTCCTCAAGATATCTCCAATACTCCCCCGCACGACAAACGTGGTCTGCAAAACGCAAACTTTGCAATCACAAAGCGGAACACGTATGTCGTGGACAATATGGGACGGACAACTCATATCTATTAGTTTATAAAGACACTATGAAGTTTTTGCCACATATATGTATATATTTCATTGCTTTAAAAATCTGTTGGTAGATGTGAATAGTTATGGACTAGTTTGGCTTTAAAAGAAAATTGGGCCCATGTTTTCCATTCATGCATTGGACATGTACATGTAGGCATGTCAAGGGGCAAAGCCCGCAGGTTCAGACTTAAAAATATATGTCCAGAAAAAATCGGGCTTCTCGAGCTAAGTCCGTTGGGCTAAATAGTTTTTAGGGTTTAGCACGGCCGGGCTCGGACCGGCCCGAAAAGTCCTTAAAAAGAGATTTTAACTTTTTTTTTGTTAATATTATTTTTTAATTAAGAGATTTTTCTAAAGATTTTTTTTAATAGAGTTAAAAATCCTAAATCTAGTTTCCTAATTGTGCCTTACTATAAGTGTTCTGATTTTATATTTTATTTGGTGTGAGTTTTTTTTTTTTTGTCATCTAGATTTATTATTAATTGCAAATTATGAGAACTGTTACATAGACGATTCTACAACTGACAATTCCTTCCAACCCTTATTAGATCTACGACAGACTACACTTCTTTCTTCATAATCTTGATGAATACCTTCAATGATCCACGACCTGACGACACTTCCTTCTCTGCGTAGAATCCTGGCGAACGGCTATAATTGTACATCGCTGGAGATCTCCTGCACACTTGCCTCTATTAATCTGCAAATTTGTTAATAAATCGCAATATCTAGGACTCGAACCTCAAACCTCTTGGTGTAGAAACATTAATCAACCCTTGATCAACCAATGGGCCAATGGGGCTTCCACATTTGGTGTGGGTTTAAACAATTTATTTGGCTTATTTATTTGATTTTAAACTTTTTTAAAACTTAACTAGCTTTAGTGGTTATTTAAATTTCGTTTGACTCGTTTTATACATAAATTTTTTTTTTCAAGAGATATTACAAATTAGAAGGGTTTTATTTTTCTCGAAAGAAAAGCCCAAAAACCCCCGTAAAAGCCCTATATCCCTGTTAGGGCCGGGCTGGGCTTCGAAATTTAGGCTCGAAATTTTTTAAGCCTGGGCCGGGGCGGGCTCAAAAATCTGAGGGTTTTGCGGGCTTCGGGCCGGGCTAGCCCGATTGACATGCCTATGTACATGTATATTCATGATAACACATATCTATATGATTACCAATGTTGTTTATTCAAATTTCGTTGTACGTCTCTTATTAACTCTAAAGGTCGTGATCGATTTTCAACTGGATTAACACATATTTATGCGTAATCCACACAAAAAATTATACACCAAAGATTTTTAGAATTAATTCGATCTTTTTATAATGTAAAAACACACACACTATCTTGCAAAGTCCAGTGGTGGTGAGGCTACACGGTGAATGGCTATCACGGAATCAACATAAACATCTGGCTCAATCACTTGCACCCCTTCAATATATAAACCGGATGATGAGTTGGAAATGAGGATGAAACTTCCGGCTAGAAAAGTGGGAAGCCGCGAACCATCTTTCTTGGAGAGGAGGTCAGTGAAGTCTATCTTCCCCGGTACAAGGTGGTAGGCGGCGAATTTCCGTTTGTCTCCGCCGTTGTACAAAGTGGTGGTGGACATTGGTATGAAAAGTGTTGATGGTAAGACTTGGCCTAGAAGCGGCTTGTTGGTGGATATGAAAGATGGCGACCAATCGTCGAAAGTGCTATGCGCGAGTGCCTCGATCACCTCCTGCGCTGTTTCATCAATCGTGTGGGAGGCGACGCCGACAATTAGGAAGACGGCGATGAGGATAAAGTTTGATCGGCCCATGGCGTTCAAGAAAGTTTAAGCTTCTTGGTCTGTTTCTCGTGATAGAGCAGAGTGTTTCTATATTTTCTTTGGAAGAGATGCTAAAACGTTTTAATTATAGTAGCTAGTAGCTACAGTACTCAATATAAAACTTTTCTCTTGTTTGTTATTCCATATATGAAATGACATTGCTAAAATTGTCCGGAATAATATATTTATGTATGTATATAGACAATGTTATAAAAGTTGAATGGCATGAACACCAAAGTTTAATTGACAAAAGAAATAAACACGTATAATATAAAGTTTAATTGACAAAAGAAATAAACACGTATAATATAGATTTAGATTATTATCTAACATGTAAGTCGCTTTGGCCGAGTGGTTAAGGCGTGTGCCTGCTAAGTACATGGGGTTTCCCCGCGAGAGTTCGAATCTCTCAGGCGACGTTCCTATTTTGATTTTTGATGTTTTTTCCTCGACGGTATGTGATAAACACCGTTTGAGAAAAGGCAAAAGATAGTTCCATAACCAAAAAAAAAAAAAAAATGGTCGAAAGAGTTTTCAATGACTATGTGGAACGTAACGTTCATCGAGATCATTCTAAGCTTTTTGTTTTTCTTAATTTTAAGAAATGTAACATCTTTAACAAAAAAAAGAAAAAAGAAATGTAACATCCTCTTAGATATAAAAATATAATATTTTTTGTTTGGTGTAGTACTTTGAAGTAATTCTCTAATGTTTTTGGATAACCGTGATAAAACAATTGAGTAAAAGAAAATGAATCATTAAAAAAAAAAAAAAACTGAATCATTTTTGACTATTTTTCAATGAACAGAAAAAAAAAACAAGATAGAACTTTAACAATTTAAATATATTGATGATAGGAGTTCGAATTTTTAATCAGTCATCTATATTAGATGCATTTCATTTTTAATTTAACATAATTTAATGCAAAAAATTTCACATTTTATAAACTAACAGAGATATCATCTTTAACTTAACGTTATTTCAATGCAAAAATTTCACATTTAGAAACTAACGACGGAGCTCTATAAATGCAGTTCATTGCAAATGTTGAAATAGTAAGCGAACATTTGTAATGCCTTTGTAGTTTTCATATGTTATTAGTGGTTTTTAATGAATCAAAGCCTATAATACTAAAGATCAACGGCTGGTTTTCGATTAGAAATCGTGTTAAGTTTCCATGGGGAAGCATATAGACTTCCATGCATGTAAAGGTGTCGAAAGTGAGGAACTGAGCATAGTGGTCTCTTGAAGTCTAACCAATTTAGATGATGGTTCTAATTGCAATCAAAAAATATTATTACGTACGTAAGTGAAATTGGTGAATGTTGATTTGTGTATATGCATGTGTTTTGAAGTGGATGCTTGAACTTTGTTGGTTTGCGCCAAATGTTTGAAACGAAAAAAACATCAAAAGAAAATTTAAATTATCGGTGGCTAACCCCATATATTACCCCCAAAATTCTTACAACCTTACCTAAACCAAAGTTAAATAAATTTTTTTTTGTGTGAAAACGTTAAAACCAATAACGAAAAGATTAATTGGAACCAGAAATCGGATCAAGTTCAAGTATTTTTGCTTATTGGTTTTAGTAGGGCCGGATAATTTTAACAAATTAAACCGTCTTTTTATTTTTTGGGTCTCCAACCAAAACAGTATGTTGTTACGTAATTTTATTAGTTTTTTTTTTTTCGAATCATATTTCATTAGAGTGTAAATATAGAACTTTTTAATCAAAACTAATATCTTTCCTTTTTTATTGGGGAGCATACTATAATTATCGTTCCAAAGAAATAAAATAAGCGTATAGAAAATGAATTCATGAATTTGTTTTATTAATAAATAAATAAAAAAAGATATTAAGGATGCATACAGAAACACACTGTGGAGTCATGTCTTTTTCTTCTTTTTCTTCTTCTTCACTGCATTTTCATTTTCTTCTCTTTGGTTAGTGACAGAGAGAAGTGAGAACGTCTGTCTCTGTTTCAAGAAAAAGGTAATGACTTCATTACGTTTTCTTCATAGAAAAGATGCTAACTTTCATTCTAGTGCTTCTTATTAAACTGAAATTATGCAGTTTGGTGCAGAAACGAGATAACAACAACGTGGTCCCTCTAGGAACCTAAACATTCAGGTTTCAACTTTGATTGCAGTTGTTTTGTCGCAAGACTTGAACTTTTTGCGAAATGTAACCCAATGAACCATAAAAGTTTGCTTATTTATCAGAAAAAGTTCATATTTTTCATAATCAAAGAGAGAGACGAGTGTTTTTTGTGTTGTGTTTGTAGAAAGACTAAACCTTTTTGTGAAATGAAACTCAGGGAGACATAAAAGTTTGCATCTTGAATAGATATATTAAGAGGTTATGTTGCATTTCATCTCAACACTCTCGTCCTACATGTCTAGCATTTCTCTCTGTTTCAAGCTTCCATTTTTAAGACTTGTTGAGCTCGTTATCTCCTCTCTTCAAACTCGAATCTTCCAATAAACTTGTAGTGAACAATTTATCTCTCTTTTTAATACGTCTCTGTTGTTTCTTTTTCTCCTGGTTGGACCTTTTTGATCTACAATTTTTCTTAGGCGATGCTTAGAAGTTGGTTTTCGTTTAATTTGTTACATGAGCACTGATTAGTTAATTATTTTAGAATATCAGATAAATTGAATTCTTATTGGACCAATGCTTAATTGTTCAGCTATTCAACGTTCACTAGCACAAACTCAAAATGATAAGTGTGGCTAGAGAGGAGATTAAAGGGGAAACCATTTTGAGATATCACTAGCAGAAGCTCGAATCCACTTTGAGATATTTCTAGAGCCTGAGATAAGATGTCACCACAATTTGAAAATTTTCAAGAAATAGCTTGAGGCTAAGTTTAGTGAGGTGTAGAGCTTGATTGTTCCTTTGAAATGTAAATATGTTTCTGATTCTCTGAAAAGGAAAAAAAACAATTGCATTATAAAGTCTGTCAATAGTTAATGGCTTTGATTTGTTGTTGCAGTAGCCTCTTAAATCTTATGATAGCAATACTTCAACCTCAAAGTTTCTTTCTAATCTGTTATATTTCTTTTTAAACCCTGGCAGGCACTCTGTCTGAACAAAGATGAGCGACCAAGGTCCACCTACGATTAGGGTAAGTGACAACATAACTACATACACTATGTTTAGCAATGTTTACTACTAACAGAAATACTTATATATGTGTGTAGTGCAAGTTTAGCATACCTACAGAAGTTTATGATTTCTTTGAGAGTGTACGAAAGTACATTCCTGGTCCGATCTTGGGTATGATCATATCGTCCAAACCTGATGACTTCATATGCTTGGTGGAAAAAACACACGGTAGTATTCTATATATACTGTTCTAGAATAATCAATAGTTGTGTACAAAATATTTGGGTTACTAATAGTCGTAATGTTTTATTGCAACTATGTTTTTGTTTTAGGTCGTGTCAGACTCTGTGAAGGGCACTAACTGGAAAAAATACATGGGTTGGATAAGAGACCAAGGACCTCATAGCAGAGCCGGCCCAACAAATTTATGGGCCACAAGCAACAATTTTTTTTTGGACCTATAAAATTAATAAGCTAAAAAAAACTGAAAGTTTTATAAAGAGCAATAATGAAGCTTCGAAGCCTGCACCAATTTTCTCCATTAACTTAAACGTAACCACCTGAACTAAAGGATACTTTGTTAAAATTGGAGGCTGAAAATTTACTTATATTTAAGAGGGCCACAAGCTGATGCTTCATCAGCCTGTCCCTAAGGCCGGCTCTGCCTCATAGTGAGATCTCTTTACTAAACTAATGTTTCTATTTTGTTATCTTGAATATCTGACTGAAAGTTTTCTCATCACTTTCAATATATTTTTCCGCAGATACTTGCTGGGCTATAGTGGTTGCTGAGTTGATTAGTGCATTAAGATTCATTTTAAAATATGATGCAACATACACTGATTATTCTGCTCAGTATCTGGTAGATTATGCTGACCAATCAAAGGGATTAATGGCAAACCACTCAAGAAAAGGGCATTATTGTTATACACACTCTATAGCGAAAGGCTTAGAGTTTGTAAAGCATGGAGGGATACCATTGGCAAAACATTGCAAGTACGTAGGTTGTAGAAAGCTGACCGCTTATCGTCCACCAAAGGATCATTCTCATGTTCGGATCGCTTCGGTACAACGAAGGTCTTCCGTAGATGAGGCATTACCCCACCTCGAGTTTCATCCGATTGGAGCATCATTGGCTATCTTTCAACCAGATTATTTGACTATCAAAGAGGTATAAAACCATAAATACAGATTTTAAAACAACGTTTTTATGATTTTAATAGAAAATTCACATCTATGATTATTAATTTTTATGTATTCTGTGATTTTATTTTCTAGGGAATTTACCGAGGGCCTATGTCCAAAGGATCTATATATAAAGGTCTCCATGCGGTCTCTATATATGGCATTGATGAAGAAAATGGAGAAACAATCGTATTAGTAAAATCTTCTCATGGCGAAGATGTGGGAAGAGATGGTTATTTTAGAGTTTCTTTAGATATCATGATGATTGAGGTTCCATGGGAAGGACAAGAGGCTCATCCCAATTTTAAACGCCCAACCAAACTACTCACTGGATTTTGCTTCCCTCGAGAACAGGTGCAAATATACAGTTTCAATTATGTTTTTGGTATTCAAGAAATTTATGTCTTCTCACATTCTGAGATATATTTGTAATACTATAAATTTATGTATATCATCCTTATCATTATCATTGATTGCAGGAACTGAAGTAGTTCTTCAACCTACCTAAAACACAATTCTGCCACTGATGTAAGTGATCGACATTGCTTTTTTTTGCCAAAAGCGTATTCATAATTTAGACTCAGAAAATATTTTGGACATCAGTGTGCTTTTTGACATTGCAATGTTGTTTCTCTATAGCTCATCTAGAAACATCCAGGAAAATATCTCATGTTATTAGCAAGTTTTTCGTTTAAGACATTGCAACATTGTTTCTCTATAGCTCATCTTTCAGATTTCTAGTAACATCCAGAAGAAGTTTTCATGTTGTTTCCCTAGGCGTCCTACTGGCACTTAAATTAGTTTATAATCATCCTGTTCAATAAACAAATGTTAACTGGTAGAAGAAGAAAGCAATAATTTCAAACATTACACGCGTTGGCAACAAACAAATTATGTCTGCAATTGTTCCAACCTATTGTTTAAATAAACTAACACTCTTTTGAGTTATAAATTTAAAAAGGGACAAAGTCCAAATACATTCAACAGGATTTGTAGGCCAAACAGTCAACTTCCAGGCAAATGTGTCCCGGCATCCCATCCATGGTTCTCCTTACAATCGCTTGGTACTCCATAGGTGTACCACTCGGATCGCCATTTCCCTTGAAACTTATGTAGAAGATCGCATTGTTGGCCTTCAGAATCATATGCGGTGATGCTTCTCTGTTTTCTTGAGTTTGTACAATTATCTTCTTCATCTCAAGTGGTAGAAAATGCCTCAGGTCATTCTACAAAAACATAAACTCAAAGTTATGGCATGAATGAGAAAAACCAACAATGAAGCCACTTGAGTAAAAAGAAGGAACCTACCCCATATGCAAAAAACTTGGAGTATAATGCAAACTCAGCGTACATATGAAGCCACTCATTTCCTTGCCAGTCTGATTCTTGCAACTTTGAATCCATAAAACTTTGTGAATCAGATATCAAATACCAAACACAATAATAAACCACAAGAAGCAAAATTAACATTAATACCTCATAAAACTGCCCCCTCTTATTGCTGAGCTCTTGCTCAGTCAACCAGCTGGGCAATTTACCTTTGTAAGAATCATCAACTGCATCATCTTTCCACCTCCTCTGAGGCCCAATAAAAGTAGTCCGAGGGCCAGCAGGAACTAATAGCCAGCAATTAAAATGTATATATATACAGGGTACTAGAGAAAGATATTGGACAAACAACATGTTAGAATAGAGTGTAGTTAGTTACCTTTTAGTCTGGAAAGTTCGGTCTGCACCATAAAGGATGAGTCTTTGGGAGTAAAATCTTGGCAAACACAAGTCTGAAAATTGCAAAGTGAGTTGTTGGATGTGTCCATGGCCTCTAATGTTATGTAGTACTGGAACAACCTACCAAGCATCTCGTCGTTGTATTTGTTTATAGCAATCAATCTGAGGTTGGTTCCCTACCATATCAGCCAGCACGAAAATGTAGCCTCAGACGCAATATTAAAGTAAGGAAGAAAACAAAGGTGGTCTTGAGACAATTGTTGTTACCTTTTGAAGATTGTAACAGTGAAGTCCCAGTCTACTAAAAAGGGCGATGTCGTATGGATAGTCATACTTATCCCTGAATATGTAGGGATAAATTCCACCATCCGGAAGAGCAAAGCGATCAACATCGAAACCCTGTTCCACATTCACAATTCTTTGTTTGTATCAAAAAACCACAACTGCAAAAAGCAACAAAAGTCTCAAAGCCGATCACAGTAATTCATTCGACAGCTACAGATGAACCAAAATCCAACAATGAGCCTACGAATGGTTTCCAACCAAGAATGAACAAACCTAAGGTTTCAATCGTAATCGAAAAGAAGCAGAGATTTACGTCAGACTCTAGAACTTGTCGCCAGTACTCCTTCTCGACCGCAGGGTCAATATAATCTTCGTCGTCCCAGGAATCGCACTCAACCTTATGGATCGGAGCTGCTGAGGATGAGCTCCCTGGAAATTCCGATTTCCGTTTACGCTGCGGCGGTTCATCTCCAATCTTCGGAATCAAAATCGCAAAATCAGTCATTCTCCCCCAATTTCACCTAAACCCTAATCTCTGCAATTTTTCTGAATTTCTCCATGAATGAATGAGCCAGAGCCAATCCTTATTTAATCATTAATTTTTAACACTTACTTAAACCCCTTTATTTTCCCGACTTTTTCACACAAGACCCTTGTTTGAAAAATCGCTAGGCGCTAGTCGGGCGCTCGGCATGGGCCTAGCGATTAATCGGAAAATCGGATTAAAATCGGGGATTAATCGGGGATTAGTTTTAGGGTTATTTTAATATTTTTAAAATATATTAATCCAATATTGTAAAAATTTATGTTTTTATTACAAATTTATGATTTTTATTAAAATTTGAACACAAGTTATTGTAAAACATCACAAACTCTCCATTCAAATGATTGAATAACAAAAATAAAAAGTTTTTTTATACTTGCAATCTAAAAAATAATCGGGGTATATAAGATTAGGCGGAAAGTAATCGGATTAGGCGGAGAATAATCGGGTTACTGATTTTTTAGGGGATTAGTCATTAATCGAGGCGGATAGGGGGGGCCTAGCGATTAAGCGGGGAGTAATCGGGGCTAGGCGGGGATTTTTAGAACAGGGCACAAGACTATCACTTTTATAAACCAAAATATCATGCCCCATAGTATATAAGACAGACCCAAGACAAAAGGCTCACTCATATTATAAGGCCCAAGACAAAAGCTCTTCGTCATTTCAATTAGAACGAAAAGATTAAATATTTTTCAAATCACTCCATCTAAAAATGAATTGAGAATGTAAAAAAAAAAAAAAAAAAAAACAATATGAATAGAGACTGCGTGCACTAAAAAACATATATATATATATATATATATATAAAAATAAATGAAATCTATTTTTTTTTTTAAGTTTGAAATATTAAATAGAGAACTTGATACATGAACTAGTTTCTTAAGATGCTTTGACTTTTCTAAAATCAAATTAGAAGAAATAATCTATTTTAACTTTCAAAAACTAAACCAATATGTATAAAGTAATACCTTTAGTTTACAAGTGAATTAAGCTTCATTGAAAAATCAATAAAATGGCTACAAATATATTTTTTCCTCCTAAATTGACATGCTTTTTTTTTTTGTACAAAAAAATTGACATGTTAAGACTAAAGATGAAATTGGACATTGGAAATTTGAATATTATAAAATAAAATTATCTTATGTTATAAAATTTTAATGGCATGAAAATATGTTACTGATATAAAAATAAAAAAATGAAAACAAACATGATTAATAATATTGAAAAGCTACAACATGAATAAATATATACTTTGATTGACTCATAAGCAATACAGTTACATGGTTTTTTTTTTATGATTTCTAATGCTATAATTCATAGTTTTATAAGTTTGAAAAATAAATAAAAAAGCGTCATTAACAATTACAATTCCAAGGATAAATAGACTTGTTTCTCTCTTTTTAATCGTCATATTAAATACCAGAAGATGTTGATATTGGTTTCATATTTGCTGGAAGAGCAGAATTGAGTGTGGATGCCCAAAATTTATTTATATCAGATACCTTCGGAACTCTATGCTTGATGATCATAGAGAATTCTGCAAAAGATGAAGAAATCAACATCGGAGCTGCGGCTATCCAAGGTTATAATTTAGGTTATGACATTAAAGCAAAACTTGTTTATTTACAATATCAAAATTGTAATTTTTAGATAGAGATTCTCCACTTATTTGGTTTGTTCAATTGGGATTAGGCTTACAACTTTTGTGACCAATTAAATTTGGACAACTCATTTAGTACTTATTAACCTTTTTGTGTTTTGCTAATTTATTGAAACATAACAAATGTGAAATTGTCTAAATAGCACATGTGAGATTAGGATTTAAAACCTATATCAAAAATAAGAAAAAAATTTAGAAAAAAAATCGATTTCGATATTGGTTTCGTATTTGCTGGAGGAGCAGAATTGAATGTGGATGCCCGAAGTTTATTCGTAGCAGACACCTCTGAAACTCTATGCTTCGGGATCAGGGAGAATTCTCCAAACGACCAAACAATCCTAATCGGAGCTGTGGGTATGCAAGGTTATAATCTAGGTTATGACATCAAAGCACAACTTGTTTATTTACAATATAAAAATTGTAAGTTTTAGAAGATGATTGATACGTGTTATCCTTTTATATTTTAAGAATAATTCAAATATAAATCTGTAAGATTTTAAATCATATAAATATAAGTTTATATTAAATGTATTTGTTAAATATGTTTAAAATTATTAATTATGATGAAAGGATAAATGTTGAATTTTCTACAACAAGTTTTGATTTTCCAAACTACTTTTAGTGTTTGCTTTTTTTATTGTTTAAAGTTAGGTTTTGGTTATTTATAAGTTTTTAAAAGAAAAAAACTACTTTCATGTATAGAATATCTAAACGTGAGAAGTAGGAAATCATTATCTTTGTTGATCAAACGAAAGAAATTATGGAAATAAAATTCCGGAAACAGAGGATTAAAATTAGATAGCTTGGGTAAGAAGAAAGATAGAGTTGTCTAGGATGTAAATGCAATCATAGTCATTGTTTGAGGCTTTAACTGCATGTAGATTTGAATTTGTATGAAGCTTCTTTGTATCACTTTAACTGCATGTAGATTTGAATTTGTATTCTCCTTCTCCTCATCATCATCCGCTTCCTCGCCACCACTGCGGCCTCAAGGAAGATTGAAGACAGTGCATTCGAGGAGGTGAAAGCGATGACTGCAGCCACTTTAAGAGATCCCCGATGGTCTCCTCCGGATACGACATTCAGAGAGCGATGGACGAATCTTGGAACAGCCTTGATTCCCCCTGTAACCACCGTCCGTGTACCCTGATCTTTCCCCCAAGAACATCTTTAAAGAGTGGACAGGTGCATTTATCGGAGCAGATAAGGAGCAGCTTCCCATGACTCTCTTTCTTCCCTCTTCGGAAGACCCCTCACCGTCTCCCACATACAAAATCGCCGCCGCCTATCACATTGTTCCAAAGAAACTCCTCCTCGCCGACTTGCTCTCAATGGAAGTGAACTCCCGTCTCCCAACCCTAGTCCCAGGAGCCTCCATCATCGTTACCAACAATTTACCTCTTGAGCTTAACGGTGTTCGGGTAACGGATCCCCAAGTGTTCGTATCGAAGTCCATTGTTATTCATCGGATTGCGTCTCCACTGGATTTCACCACCGTAACGGAGGATTTTGGCGGAGGAGAAACCGCTTCTTGGTTTTCTTGGCTTTTCATTATTGTTATTCCCGTCATTAAGAAACTGAATCTTTATCGTTTCTTGGTTTTCTTGGTTTTAGTTTCTTGGGTGTGTCAGTCTTGAGTGTACTACAATAAAGAGAATATATTCAAAACTCGGGTTCTATGTGAGTTTCGTCCATAACCTTGGATCAGAACTCGAATAGAGAGAAAATGATTGTTACTACTTGTCCAAATCAGAGATGTTATTATCATGAAATTTTTTTTTTTTTTTTTTTTAATGACGCTTCTGTTGCTCAAAGCTTGCTCAGCGTTATTCTATTAGTTATGAAAGCAAACTAAAATAAATATTATTGACCATGACAAAACAACTCTTGGACTTTTTCATACTGTCAGCTTCGAGGCTGAAAGGTTTGATAGGACATCTCTGAAAAGAACAAACCTTCCATTGTTTAAAACATAAAGCTTCCCACATGCAAAGTTTCCAGATTAGCTTAAAACAAACAAGTCTCATTTGACTCTTATATTTTCTATTTAGAAAAAAAAAAGTTGCAGAAAAATACAAAGAAAAAAAATAACTCCTATTGAAAAATATTTAGTGTTTTTACGTCAAAGGTTTATGTATTGTTTGTCCTATTCTTTGGTCCTTTTTCTTTTTTATGAAAGAGTAATAACACTAGTGAATTAGAAAACATATTATGAACAAAAAACTAGTGAATTAGAAACAATCATGCATAAATATGGATTTGGGAAGTCATGCTAATTGCTAAAAGTTTGATTAATTTTTAGCAATTAATCATAAAAATTCTACACTTTTATGGTGCTAAATTCTTGAAACCATAAGTAAAACTAGTAAAAAAATATCATCACCACTACCAATCCAAAGACAAACTTCACAACGTTAACACCAAAAAATCCTCAAGTTGGCTGGGATTCTAAGCCCGCCCGAGACTGAACTTCTAGACGAATATGTCCCGGTGTCCCATCCATGGTTTTCCGTACTATTGCTTGGTACTCGACGTCACTCGGATGATCACTATTGCCTTTGAAACTCATGTAGAAGATGGCGTTGTTGGCCTTGAGCTTTAAGTGTGGGGACTCTTCACCGCTTTCCCGAGTATGTACAATTACCTTCTTGATCTTCAGTGGTAGAAAACGCCTCAGAATCGTGTTCTTCATCTGAACAAAAAAACATATATTGCATTTGGTTAGTGAAGGCAAACACCTATCAATGTTCTTCACGTCTTTTTAGTTTGAAAAGGTAAAAGAACATACCGCATATCCTCTCCAGTTCAAGGACAATGCAAACTCAGCATAAAGATGAAGCCATTCATTTCCTAGTAAGTCAGATTCTTGCAACTGTGATGCATATATACCATGCCATGAATCATCATCCAATCAAAAACCAATAAACAAGATTTAAGTAAAATTCACCAAAAATACCTCATAGTATTGCCCCTTATCATTAGCTGCAGCTAGCTCCTCCTTTGTCAACCAGTTAGGCATTTCACTTTTGTAGAAATCATCTACCACCTCATCTTCCCATCTCCTCTGAGGCCCAATAGAAGTAGTCCGAGGCCCTGTAGGAACTAAACACCTAACGAGTAAAGCAGAGGAAGTAAAGACGACATGACAATAACAATATTGTTCAGATACTACACATACCTTTTAATCTGGAAATCTCTGTTTGTACCATAAAGTATCCATGTTCCCAAGTTTTACCCTCCCGTACGCACGTTTGAAAAGTGCATGGAGAGTTGGTATATGTGTCTACTGCCTCCAACGTTATGTAGTACCCAAAAAACAACTCAGTGTTGTATTTGTGAATGTCGATTAATTTGAGGTTAGTTCCCTGTAAAAGATCAAGCACCCATGCGTTGACAAAGAGAATCACTAGCCACAAAGAGATGAGACAATCTTGTTGTTACCTTGTGAAGATTGTAACAGTGAAGTCCCAATCTACCATAAAGTTCGATGTCATGTGTATAACCATACTCATCATTCAATTGAAAGGGTTTTATCCGAGCATATGAATTGTGAAAGTAATCAACATCGAAACCCTGTCCACGTCCACAATTCCAAGATTGTATCAATAAGCATAACCCAAAATTGAAAAATGATCAACATAATCAATGCTCTTAACCTAGATGAAATATCCTAGGGTTCGTTCATCCACAAATCAATCGAATTATGATATAAGCAACTTAGAGAGAGAGAGAGAGAGAGAGAGAGAGAGGTGTTACGTCGGACTCTTGAACTTGGCGTAGATACTCTTGCGCTTCTTCGGGGTCTATTTCTTCATCCTCACTCCAGATATCGTCATCTGACATTCTCCCCAATTTAACCTAATCTCTTGAAATTTCTGAAATCTATTCGTCCAATTTTTATTTTTCTACTATTCAGACTTACATTTATACCTATTTACTTTTCCGATTTTCCTAGAAGAACAGTTTCCTTTATTATCTTAGCTTTTTATTTCTAACATGTGAAGAATTAAAAAAACAAAGTTACGGAAACAGAGGATACGAGGGTAGCAACTACAGTGGATTACAAAAAGTTAGCTTGAGTAAGAAGAAAGATATAGTGCCAAATAACATATTTTGGACATAAGCAGAACGATCACTTCTCTGTTTTTCTTTCTTGAATGATTGAATCGGATCTCTTGGTACGATAATACAACTCTAAATATTATTCTCTCAGCTTCAACTTCTCATGAATATCATATATGTTTTATTACTCTTCAAATATCCAAATGAAAAAAAAAAAAAATGATAGAAAAAATCTATTTTTGGTGATTCCATACTTGTCTTGATTGATATCAGAATATTGAGAACAAGTAATCACAAGTAGAAGAAAAGCTTTAAAGAGAGGAAGAAGAAGATACTTGTAATCACAGAATAATCGTCATCAAAGGACTTGAAGTCAACCCTACGGTAACTTTTTATTGAGCAGCAGAGGATGAGCATTCCGGTTCAGGTTCACTCTAGGGCGGTTTATCCTCCCCAATCAGATCGCTTGGTATGCCTTCCCAAGAGTCAACTTCTAGACGAATGTGTCCCGGTTTTCCATCCATGGTTTTCCGTACTATTGCTTGGTACTCGTAATGCTTACCACTCGGATGATCACCACTGCCCTTGAAACTCATGTAGAAGATAGCATTGTCGGCCTTGAGCTTCAGGTGCGGCGACTCTTCACAGCTTTTCCGAGTCTGTACAATTACATACTTGATCTTTAATGGTAGAAAACTCCTCACCAGCGAGCTCTTCATAGGAAACAAAATACATTGCATTTGGTTAGTGAAGAGAAGTGGAGGCAAACATCACGTACATCTTTCGAGAAAAAAGGTAAAAGAACATATACCGCATGCCATTTCCAGTTCGAGTACAATGCAATCTCAGCATACAGATGAAGCCACTCATTTTCTAGAAATTCTGATTCTTGCACCTGTGATGCTTACATATTGTGAATCATCAATGGAAAACTATTGCATGCTATTCAAAAGCAGATTACGCAAAATTTACCACATAGTATTCATCCTTGGCTGCAGCCAGCATATCGTTTGTCAACCACTTAGGCAGTTTACCTTTGTAGTAAACATCGATGGCCTCCTCTTCCCATCCCCATATCCACCCACGTCCAATAGAAGTATTATGAGGGCCAGTAGGAACTAATTAAACACCAGAACACCCAAACGATAAATAAAAGCTAAACCGGAGGAAGATACATGACCTAACAACAACAATGTTCAGATACTACACATACCTTTTAATCTGGCAATATTTGTCTGTACGACAAGGTATCCATGTTCCGAAGTTTGACCCACCTCACGTACGTACGTTTGAAAAGTGCATGGAGAGTTGTTGTGTGTGTCCATTGCCTCCAACGTTAGGTAGTACCCACAAGTTAACGCAATGTCCAGAGTGTTGTACTTGGGAATGCACAAGAGTTTGAGGTTGGTTCCCTAAAAGTAGAGACAGAATTCAAACATTAAAAAAAGAAGGAACTACGTCACGAAGAAATCACTAAAAACTATCACAAACAAAAAACAAAAAAAAATAAAAACATGAGAGATATTGTTTATTTACCTTGTGAAGAAGATTGTAACAGTGAAGTCCCAATCTTCCAAAAAGTTCGACGTCATATGTATATCTAAAGCATAGCATATCTAAAGCAATCAACATCGAAACCCTATCCACATTCACAATTCCAAGATTGTATCATCAGACTAAACCCAAATTTTGAAAAGCACCAATCAATCTAATTATGATGAAAGCAACTTAGAAAGAGAGAGAGGGAGAGAGGTGTTACATCGGACTCTTCAACTTGCCGTCTATACTCCTTTTCTTCTTCAGGGTCCATTTCTGTATCCCAATCACTCTCGCTACTATCGTTCTCCGACATTCTCCCCAAACCCCAGTTTAACCTGAACCCTATTTTTTTGGAAATTCCTCAAATCTATATGTTCGAACAAGGTAGCAAACATGCTCTTCGAGACTCTATATATAAAGGAGGAACTTGGTGACTGGGATCACCACATGGCGTTTTACTATTCACTCACTCCCCTCCTATAAATATAAATTTATCCCAACAAATTAATGAGATGATAATTATTCTATATACTCTTAAGATAATAAATCATTTGAAATTTCATACAATTTTTGGGATTTTTTTAAAAAATTTGATATGATTTTTTTTTCCTTCTAAAAGTTTAGCTATATAGAAACATATTTACTTTACCACAATTTGTAAACTTTCGTTTTCTAACTTCTCATTTAATAATAATATTCATTGGGATAGACATATATACCACTAAAAATCAAAAATTAATTAAAATTTTTAATTTCTAATTTACTTTTCTCTAGATAAAAGTTCATTGGACTCTTTTATAACTAGCCTAAAAAATAAGGATGCATAAGCATTTTGTTTCATCACAATCTATAAAATCATCACTCCTAATATATCTCCTTTAATGATTTATTAGGATTATATCTTATACCAAAATTAAAAATAAAAAAAAATTCTCTGACTTTTTTGAATATAAAGATTTAAAATTGAATAAGCTTTAGCAATTAACTAAACAAGAAAGGGATCCATGTAAGAACATATTCGTGGATCACAATTTAAAACATGATCTCTGGCCCCTGTCAAATATTAACTATATTAATTTATAATTTATTAATTTATATGTAATATAGTTCGTTGAAAACTAGTAATATATAAAATTTCAATGAAAAAAAACTATATTAATGTTTTATATACGACGTTTGCGCTAACTGCAATAAGAACCTAATTCAGAAATAGGGAACCAAAAGAAAAAAGTTAAGGAGCTAGACCAGGTCAGTGTCTGGACTGAGACCATATGTCATGTCTTAAGGAGATTTGCACCCTCAGATTGACGACAAAAAAATCATACATCATGTACGTCAAGATACTTATGCCCTCAGGTTGCCTACAGTAATCATAGTGTATAGCTATAGGCCACGAGTCGGAGTCACCATGAACCTTGTTCTGCATGCATGTATGGTCTACGAACTCTAATATAATGGAGATCATGAGAGGATAATGGAGATCATCAATTGTTAGGATAAAGAAAGAAAGATGTAGAGATTACGTCTGACTCTCGAACTTGCCACTCGATCGTATTCCTCCTCGACCACAGGATCAATGTAATCGTCATCACAGGGATTGTACTCAAAACTTTTTACTAGGGCAACGGTGGATGATGAGCATTGCAGTTTCTGTTCACACTCCGGTGATTCATCCCTAGTCTCGGAAATTCTCAACAATCTCGCTCAAACCCTAATCTCTGGGACCAGAGCTAAGGGTTCAACAAGGAAGGAAATATCACAATTTATTGACTAGGATTGAGTGGGAGCCTTGCCCCACTCAAATGCCTCAAACTATACTCTTATTTTCATTATTACGTCTAACATGTGAAAATTTTTTTTTAAAAAAAAAGTTACGGAAACAGAGGAAAAAACAGAGGAGACTAGCAAGTAGCAACTACAGAGGATTACAAAAAGATAGCTTGAGTAAGAAGAAAGATATAGTGCCAAATAACATATTTGGGACATAAGCAGAACTAAAGTCCTTAACACTAAAGTTTATCAAGTGGCGTCAATGCAAGGTTATGAAAAAGTTTTAAGAAGAGGAGAAATGTATGTGGTTTATTGGTTCTCTTAGTTTTGCATTAAGGATCATTTCTCTGTTTTTCTTTCTTAAATGATTGTATCGGATCTCTTGGTACGATTATACAACTCTAAATAGTATCCTCTCAGCTTCAATCATGAAAATCATATATGTTTTATTACTCTTCAAAAATAAAAAAAAAATAAAAAAAAGAAACAACCAGATTTGAAACTACATTTAAGTGTAGGTTCTTTAAAATTGATACAAACTCTATGATATATGCAGCCAGAAAATTACTACAGAAAGTTTTGTATTCTAATTTTATCGACATATAATTAACGTATCTTTCCAACAACTCCATCATAAAGTTTAATATTTTATCGCATGATAGAGTGTGTCCAACAACCCTATATCTTAATTTATGTCTACGACCACAATTGTTATTTTGATTTTTGTCAATATCAGACTAATTAAAAATTAGGTACAGTATTAGTGATTGTGACAAATTATTTTTGTCACGTCAACAAAGTTCTATGTTCTATTTTTATTTTTTTGGTTAAACTTGCATGAGAATGTAAAATACACAGTAGTCTTAAAATATAAACGAAGGCTCACATCAAAATGTAGTAAAATATAACACCATATCAGAACCAGACCCAATTGGAAGTCTAAACCCCAAGTCAACATCGCTGTGTTATTGTCTCACAAACGAAAGCCGACGTAAAAGAACAATGGCCTCGATCAAACGACATGCAAGTTGATTCAAGTTCACCCTCAGCGATCAAACCGCTTATGTTATTTTTTCTTTTCCAGTATATAGATTAGATGAATTAATGATTGACACTTTATTATTTTAGAATTAATAAAAAATAACTTCCTGCCAAAAATGATATTTTAAACAGACTAATTATACTCATATATAAACGTCCATGCTTATCACGTGTGTATTATTGTATTTGTATGGCATTTGCATGTATATAAATATGAGACTCACGATAAGCATATTATACAAAGGGTAATTAAGAGAGAGTTAAAGAGCGAGACGAAGTTATGGGATACTTCTTGATAGGTTTTCTTGTGGTTGTCTTGTCCGTGGGAAATGTTATTGAAGAAGCAAATGGTGAAATACCTCGAACCATATTGGGCAAAATAGAGAGGATTAATCAAAAAGGTCCTTATTTAGGGATTGTAGCTCCAAACAACTATGAACTTAACCCTCTTCTCGGTTCTAAAGCCTATGTCCCATCTTCTTCGTTGCCCTTCATCGATTTCGCAGGTTAATATTTTTTGTTGTCATTCATTTTGAAATTCTATATGATGGATGTTATTAAAATCGAACTTGTTCATCGGATGAAATCACACAATCATATTTTTCTTGTATATGAGGTCTGTGGGAGTTTTGTGGCGTATACATAGATTATTTACAGGGCCGGCCCAAGTTCTTTTGCTGCCTAAAGCAAAAATGTGTTTGACCCATTTAGAAATATCTGTTGGAAGAAAAAAATATAAATTTTAACAAAAACTAGACTCAAACCCAGCACGTAGAACATGACAAATAGTGGCATTGACCACTATACCACCAACAATTTTGAAATATGATGCCCCAAATTTTGTTAATAAATTCTGATGCCTAAAGCCCTAGCTTTACCAGCTTTAGCTTCGGGCCGGGCCTGATTATTTACATGGTCCAAGAGATTACAAAACAAACATTTTTTAAAGCTATTTATAATCATGGTTGTTTTTTAGCTTAGGTTTGTGAATTTCTTTTCTCGATACTTCATGATAACAAGATATCTCAAGCTTAATTTTTCTCTTTCTCTTAGAGAGATTTTCATCTGGAACCTATATAAATTGATTTTTTTTTTTTTTGATAAAATGATTTGATTTGGTTTATTCCCTCTTTAAATCATGCAGGTCGAAAATTCCGATTTGGAAAATTATCAAAACAACCAGTGGTAATAGTGATGTCGGGATTAGGAATGGTACGTTTTCTATATATATATGGAAAATAATCTGAATGTATTATATATGTCTCTCACCAAATACAAAGTTTTTCCCATATATATGAATACTTTAATTTAGGGTTTATATAATAATATAAATGCATAAAAACAGGTGAATGCAGGAGTAACAACACAATTACTGGTGAGCCTCTTTAGGCTGAAAGGAGTTTTGCATTATGGAATCGCTGGAAACGCAGATATTAACCTTGAGATTGGTGACGTCACTATTCCTCAATATTGGGCACACTCTGGCCTTTGGAATTGGCAGGTACGTAACGTAGGCTTGGTTATTGACTTTGACCAATACCAACGTAACCAATTATGATAAGGTTTAATAAAACAAAACATTTACGATATTTATGTGAGTATACCGTATAAGTTTATATAATTGTTAACTCTTAAACTTGTGGTCACCATTGTAGATGCTCTTAAGATACTATGAACAGGTTTTATGATATAGTATCGTGAGATCTGTCCAAATCGTATCCTTCGCATGCACATGTTCAAAATCTACCATGATAATGTCAATAACAATTTAATGTTAGCTAGTGGTACAATTGGTTATGGACACAAATAATTTTGATGGTTGCATACATTTCGATAAATAATTATATTTTACAATATTTTGAATGCAGAGGTATGGAGATGGGATTGACAACGAATTAGCTCTCGAATCCGGTGGTGACTATACTCGGGAAGTTGGTTATCTCCAGTTTTCCAAATATAGTAACCGAACCGATAACTTGCTTAATCGAGTTTGGTATCAACCGGAAGAAATCTTTCCGGTCACCGGAACTCCTGAAGAGCGGCAACATGTGTTCTGGATTCCCGTTGACAAGTCCTACTTGAAACTTGCACGCAAACTCGAGGTTTGACCAAACTGACCCATACCTAATATATTTTGCATGCAAGTTGAATTTCGTTTCGCCAAATATTCACAACACGTTAATTAGTCCATTACGTATCAATATATTTGACTAACATTTTAAAATGTTTTTATAATCAATAATAATAATATACTAGATTATAAACTAACAACTATATTGTATAGAAAAATTATATCCAAATTCCAAAAAAAAGAAAACGAAAATGTAGTAAAATATACGTATTACATAGATAGTTCTTAGATTTCTTATCAATATTTTTCGTCGCCAGATTTCTTCTATATTATACTCATCAATATAAAATTAAAGTTCAATTATTTTGCCAAAAACGATTAAAAATTAAATAAAGTTTAATTATTTGGTTATATTTAATTAATGCAATTATTGAGTCTTGTTTACGTGGAAACATCCAACCAAAACAGGACACGAAGCTACCGCAGTGCGTGAACACCACATGCCTCCCTCGACCACCGAAGGTCACTATCGTTAAACGTGGAATGAGTGCAAGTGTTTTCATCGACAACGCAGCTTACCGGACTTTCCTCAACTCCAAGTTTAACGCCACCGCCGTTGAAATGGAGAGCGCCGCCGTGGCTCTCATTTCCCACCAACAAAACCTCCCTTTCATTGTCATCCGTGCACTCTCCGATCTAGCTGGAGGCGGTTCCGACGTGTCCAACGAGGCCAGCATATTCAGCAGCCTCGCCGCGGAAAACTCCGTCGATATTCTCGTTAAGTTCGTTGCTTTGTTGCCTCCGCACGGAAGCAAGATTCAATCAGAATGATAAATTTGGATTAAGACTTTCGAGCGTGGAATAAGAGCATGTAACGGGAAAAGTAAGATGTATTATCTATGAGAACGCGATAAAATATGTGTCTAAAGTCTAAACCAAATAATGCGTACGTTCTTTTTAATAATAAAAGCTGTGTATTGTTCATTGGTATTATTATTGAAGTGTTGATTGGTAACGACTGTTAATTTTTGCTATAAAGATTTTGACTGTATAAATTACGATTTTAATTTTAAAAAAAAAAAAATTACGATTATAAATAACCATCAAATATGTAAGAAAATAGACCTTAAAAAAACAAGAAAAAAATTTAATTGTAAATCAAGTGAAAATTTTCAGGAATTAATTAATTTTTGAATGTTATAAGAGTTATGAGAAAAAAAACTATAAGCTTTTAATTTATTCATTTTTAAAGTCTCATTTAGGTGACTTTAAAAAAAATTGAAAGCAAAGAGTAAAAAATAAAAAAGAGACTTTGAAGGGTTTAAAATTTATTAAAGCCAAAAAAGCTTGATTGAGAAAAAACACTTTTAAAACTTTTAAAAAAATTTTAAATTCTTAAAAGCCTCATCCAATCACCCCGAAAATCTTTTCTTTAATTTATTTTATATAGAAGGTACTGCCGATTACTTCAATGTCAAACATATACATCAGTTTTATGCTGTAGTAAGTTATTTAAGGAGTATTCAATAGTACTTCTTACAAAAATTTGAGAGCGGTTACAAGAAGACTTTTAAAAGTTTCATGAGCGCAATTCTAAAAAAGGTTATGTATTTTTAGGAAACCAAAACATTTTTTGGGTTTGAGTACTTATTCTTCAAAAAAAAAATTGTAAAAGGAATAATCGAGTTTTAAACCGAGATAAATGTTAAAATATAAGACATACTCCCTCCGTTTCATAATATAAGTCGTTTTAGCTTTAAGCACGCAGATTAAAAAGATCTACTTTTAAAAAGTTTAGCCAATCACAATAGAGACTGCATAATATAAATAATTATAAAATATTAAAATAATATATAATTTGCATAGGAATTTGAAAATGACTTATATTGTGAAACAAAATTTTTTCTCCAAAACGACTTATATTATGAAACAGAGGGAGTATAATACACGATACATTAGTTTTGTTTTCTGAAATACCACACTTAAGAAGACCTCTTGAAGCTATCACCTTCTTCAAAATTTCCTAATAGCTTACAGAATCAAGCGTATGAGGGGTTTAAGAAGGCTTTGGATGACTTTACCATTTTTTTCCTTTTGATCAAAACTTTTACCATTTATATTTGAAACAACAATGGGCCTGCTGTTTGATATGGACCGAGTCATAGCCTGCATATTACCAACTATGAATTACTTCATGAATATAATCCAAAATGTCATTTAAAATTGGCCCACAATATTATTGACTCGTTAGTGTCACCAATTTCAAATTTGAATGTAAACATTGCGTATGAAATGTATATAGTTTTAAAAATAAAAATGGCTCAAATATATAAATTTCCTTGAAGGGCTCAAGATGTATATCCAAAGGAGAAGAAGAAACATGAAACTCCCGAGACAAAACACCAAAACGCATAGCTGGACATCAAAAAGAGGACAAAAGTTGAAACGACGTCGTATCTTACAACGGTCGATACGTGTTTTTCAACTTTTAGATAGAAAGAGTGGGTTTTGTAAATTTTTGAAATTTATTGAGAGGGACAATAATGTTGCGCTTTTAAAGACTTTGACTTATTTTACGAACCTGAGAGAATCCGACACATTTAAGTAACTCTCTCTCTGTCTCGACTCTCTAGAAAACACACATTTCAATTTAATTTTCTTCTATTGGTTTTTGAGAAAACATTTCGAGATTTACACTCTTTTTGTTGTCGCCGCAGTTGATACTCACTGCAAGCTCATTTCTAGTCTTCTTCACCACTCATCTTCTTCTTCTTCTTTAGTTCCTTAAACTTCTGGGTTTTGAATTTGGTTCTTGGACTAAGATAATGAGCGCTTCCAAGTTCATAAAATGTGTTACTGTTGGAGATGGAGCTGTCGGGAAGACATGTATGCTTATCTGTTACACTAGCAACAAGTTTCCTACCGTGAGTTTTCTTTAAAGATCGTTTCTTTAAGACTCTTAAGCTTTCATTTTCCATTGTCAAGCTTTGATTTTTCTTACTGGGTTTAAGAGATTTCATCTGGGTCCTTGGGGTTCACAAATGGGTTTAGCTTAAAATTGATTTCGAGTATCTAGGGTTTCCTCTGATGTATGATTCATTATTCTTGTTATTTGTTTATGTTTGACAGGATTATATACCGACTGTGTTCGACAATTTCAGTGCCAATGTAGCTGTGGATGGACAAATCGTGAATTTAGGGCTATGGGACACTGCAGGTAAAACCAAAATGTCTAATTTCAATGTTGAAACCAAATGAGCCAAAGAATTGAAATTGATGATTTAGAGTCTTCTAGCTTTTGAAGCTCTCATTCATTTAATTGTGGGTTTGTTGTTCTGTTGGTGTCTTTAGGTCAAGAAGATTACAGTAGGTTGAGACCATTGAGTTACAGAGGAGCTGATATCTTTGTCTTAGCCTTTTCGCTAATTAGCAAGGCAAGTTACGAGAATGTACTAAAGAAGGTAAATGTTTTGAATCCTCCTTGTACTGGAATAGATTTAGATAGTGAATGTGGTGGATGTTGATTTGTGTATATGTGTTTTGAATATGATTGTTGTTTTTGACAGTGGATGCCTGAACTTCGTCGGTTTGCCCCAAATGTTCCTATAGTTCTTGTTGGTACAAAGCTAGGTGGGTTTTGTTTTGCAGATTTTTTTGTGTTATATATCTCTTTTGAATTCCTCTTGGCTAATAACATTACGTCTTGGTGTTCTTAAGATCTCCGAGATGATAAGGGATACCTCGCGGATCACACCAATGTCATTACATCTACTCAGGTATATATGTGTAATCTCGCTATAGGTTTCGTTTTGAAAATGAATCTTTTAGACTTGAAACGCTTTCTCAAGCTTATGACTTGTGGATATAGGGAGAGGAACTGAGGAAGCAAATTGGTGCAGCTGCTTATATCGAGTGCAGTTCCAAGACTCAACAAGTAAGTTCCCTGACTCAAATAGTAATGCTTTGGTGAAAATGTTAGAATCTTGTGATGACTTTGCTTTTGATATGTTGTAGAATGTGAAAGCAGTTTTCGACACAGCGATCAAGGTGGTTCTTCAGCCTCCAAGGAGGAAGGAGGTCACAAGGAGGAAGAAGAAACATAGAAGATCCGGTTGCTCCATTGCGTAAGCGCTTTTAAAAGATTGTATCTATATTTGTACTATGTGAAGAGATTGCAGTAAAAAGTTAACCAATTCCACCTCTCAAAAATCTGCAGGAGTATTGTCTGTGGAGGTTGCACCGCGGCTTAAGGCACAACACAAGTCTCAACAACATTGTGACTCTCTTTCTATGGTTGTATTTTTTTTTCTGGTTCTTAGGTTGAAACTCTCCAACTGTGAAGATAAGGGAGCTGTTGGTTCTCTTATTTGTATGTGAAGAAGCTCCTTTCTCTGTTTTTGGTTGTGTAGATTTGCAAATTCTGTAACATTCTTCTCTTGTTAACAAGTTTTGGATTAGCAAATTTGGAATTCTTTAATTCTGTTCTTTTTGATCATGCACTAAAACCAGATTAAACAGAAATTTAACCAAAAGTCTTGTAAAAATCTATCAGAACTGAAAGAAATCAAACTGAAAACTAACTTACTAGTAAACGAGCAGAACAAAAAAATCATAGATCTCAAAAGTTCTACTAATTTGACAAATCAGGATCTAACAAAATAAATTGAAATGACCATCTCCATATAATAGCGTTCAATTATGCGAAAATGTACACAATGTTCATAAATATAAATATACTACAAATAAATTAGATAATTGGTCCCCAATTTTCACTCAATTACAAAGCAAAATAAGACTTGCAAGGGCATTTTAGTCATAACAACATGGGAACGGGATTTTAAACTGGAGAATTCGTTAGCGTTATGTTTTAATATCATCATCATCAGGAAAAATCCGTAAGAAAACGACGCCGTTTTAAGGAGATGGATAAACAACCGGCGAGCAGCTGGAGTATCCATACCCGGCCGGAGATAATCGCCAAGTACGAGATCTTCGAGCGAGTCGGATCCGGTGCTTACGCCGATGTTTACAGAGCTCGCCGTCTCTCCGACGGACTCATCGTGGCGCTCAAGGAGATTTTCGATTACCAGTCTGCGTTTCGAGAAATTGACGCGCTCACCATCCTCAATGGACATCCTAACGTCGTTGTTATGCACGAATACTTCTGGCGTGAGGACGAGAACGCTGTGCTTGTACTCGAGTTTCTTAGGTCAGATCTCGCTGCGGTGATCCGTGATGCTAAGAGGAAGAAGAAGGTAGAAGGAGGAGATGGATTCTCTGTTGGGGAGATTAAGAGATGGATGATTCAGATTTTAACCGGTGTTGATGCTTGTCATAGGAATTTGATTGTACATAGAGATTTAAAGCCTGGGAATATGTTGATTTCTGATGATGGAGTGCTTAAGCTTGCTGATTTTGGTCAGGTGATTATGAAATGTTACTGATTGTTTGTTATTTCATTAGCTAGTGTTATCATTTAGTGTGTAAATGTGTGTTGGCTTCTTGGCTTGTTTACAGGCTAGGATACTCATGGAGCCGGATATTGTAGCTTCAGATGAAAACCAACAGGTTTATAAACTGGAAGAAAATGATGGAGAAAGCAGCACAGAACCACCAGAAGTTATTCCTGATTATGAGAACTCACCTCGGCAAGGGTCTGATGGTCAGGAACAGGTAGCGATGAGTAAAGACGAATACTTCCGACAGGTGGAAGAGCTCAAGGCTAAACAGGTTGTTAGAGATGATACTGATAAGGACTCGAATGTGCATGATGGAGATATATCTTGTCTTGCAACGTGCACTGTTAGTGAAATGGATGATGATCTTGGTAGGAACTCTTTTTCTTATGATGCTGATGAAGCAGTGGAGGATACACAAGGTTTGATGACATCTTGTGTGGGAACCCGATGGTTTAGGCCACCAGAACTGCTCTATGGATCTACGATGTATGGGTTAGAGGTTGATCTGTGGTCGCTTGGTTGTGTGTTTGCAGAACTCTTGTCTCTTGAGCCTTTGTTCCCAGGAATTTCAGATATTGATCAGATCAGCAGAGTGACCAATGTGCTGGGAAATTTAAATGAAGAGGTCTGGCCTGGTTGTGTCGATCTTCCAGACTACAAATCTATCTCATTTGCTAAAGTAGAATCTCCTCTTGGTATAGAAGGTTGTCTTCCCAACCATTCAGGGGATGTGATATCGCTGCTCAAGAAGCTTATCTGTTATGATCCAGCTAGTAGAGCTACTGCTATGGAGATGCTGAATGACAAATATTTCATCGAAGAGCCTCTTCCAGTTCCAGTTTCAGAGCTCTATGTGCCTCCGACAAGGAATTGGCCAGATGAGGATTCTCCACGAATGTGGAATGATTACAGAACAATGGATTCAGATTCTGATTTTGACGGCTTTGGACCCATGAATGTAAAGCCTACCAGTAGTGGATTTACAATAGAATTCCCCTGACCCTGGTATTTAAGGTACGTATTCAAAAGCTCTGGCTCGCTTAAACACATAAATCAGTCATATCGTCTTGCCTCTTTTTTCTTCATAGACATGAGTATTTACCAAAACCTGACATGTGTTTGCTTTAGATTTTGATTGATGCAACCAATCATTGTTGTCTGAAGATCTTGTTACAGTATACCGCTAAGAAAACTGTTAACTTTTTGTTAGGACATAGATTGTTTAGGGAACAATGGCGGCAAAACTTTTGAAATTTGTTTGTTACTTTATTCTCTCACAACTCTGTTTTCTGTGCCTTGTTTCTCTCACTGATCTCAGTTTTATGTGTTTATCTCTCCTTGTCAGATCGGTTACATTGGCGGGGTATATGGTTGAGCATCTTGATCCTTCCAACTTTCCCTGAATTCGCCTACTTTGTCAAAATTGTGTTGTGTGTTGTTCCTCGCTCTCTCTCCCTTTCTCGTATAGAAAATGGTAACATTTACAATCGGAAGTTCGTGTTAGCCTTTAGCTATAGCTAAAGAGCTAGTTTTTTGTTGCCCAGGCCAAGCTTTACCCTATTTTTCATCTGAAATAACAATGAAAAAGAATAAAAATCTATATTTACTCGAGTTTTGCATCCTAGGATTCTGTATTGCTTCACAGTTTCTATAATTGATCTTGTATTTATCTGCTTATTGTCGTCAGTGGTGAATGAGAGCAACCCTTCAATAATGAGACCATGGAATAAAGCCAATCCTATTTGTCATCGAGTTTTTGCTAAAGATAATTTCTTTTCACTTAACCAAAATTACATAATCAAACTGATATCATATATACCAAAAATAGCTCACACAAAAATCATAACAGAGTCTGATTCTTCCAGAAATGTGTACTGTTTGTTTACTATAAAATGAAGAAAATCAGAACCACGATAGATTGACCTATACTAGTCCAATATGTTAATATAAAAACCTAAGGGGCAATTTTGAAAATTAGACAAAAGTTCATAGACCAAAAGATAAATTAATAACAGTTATCAGCATCTATCGCCAAGTCTTCCCCTAGGGTTTTTTTCTGAAACGGACATCGAGAGATTCCAGGAGTGAGTTTTGACACAATCGGAGAGGAAGAAATGGGGTCGACTGAAAAAAATCAGACGACGCAGCATCATCCGCCTCACATCAGCAGTCTCGTCGTACGACCCTCCGGAAGCAACGACGGAGAAGACGGCCGCAACGTCGCCGCCGCCGCCGGAGACTATGAGCCCGGAGAAGTTTCTCGTGACAGGCCTTCATATACTCGCTCGGATCGGTATAAGGGTGACAATGGTGGTTCGTATCTCTTCTAAACATTCCAGTCATCTTTTCTGCTGAGTTTCTCTTCTCGTTATTGGTTTCGATTTCTGAAATTGGGGAAACGGAAGAACAGAACTTAAGTAGGCATCACTTGTTTCTTTCATTACAAATGTTTGTGATTGTGTACCTCGTAATCAATGTTTTCTCTATCCTTTGACTTGTGATTACGATGAGGGCAATCGTGTGTAGTTATGTCGTGAGCATTTATATAGTGATAATACTCTCTTATACTTTTATTATATAACGCCACAATAACAATGCTGTGTAAGTTGCAAATGTATCTTGTGTGTAAGTACTTAGGTCTGGTCTTGTAGAAGAAATGTTTAGCCGGAATGGTTTGGGTCAAGTTTCTGTTTTTCTGGGTCTGTTGATGATCCAGAATCTCATTTGCTACAGATGCTTTATGGAATGTATATTTAAGAGTTTAGTGACACTTAGGGTATTGTTGAGATTTTACATTGCTACAGATGCATATCAACATTCCCTGTTCAGTGCTTACTGCTTAGTGAAAATTGTTTGTACATGCACTGAGAATGCTGACACCAACGGACTTGTAATTTCATAGTGTCAGTGCTCCACTGTTTTGAGCTTTGCTGTCTGCTTATATATACTAATGTGTGTGTGTGTAGGGCATAGAACTCGGGCAAGTTCTAACTCACCAGGCCGTCGTGGATATGAAGATCACCGGCATAGCTCTGATCTTAATCATTCAGGCGTTAAACCTCGAGGCCGTGAGTTCAGCAGCAGAAGGGAAGCATCTGGGAGACACAGAGACTATTCACCACCTTATGCTAGAGGTGGAGCTGGTGCTCGTCCTTATGGAAGAGGTTTAGATGGGCCTGAACCTGCATATGGAAGCGATGGCATGAGCAGAAATAATATCCCAAAGGTGCAACCAAGAGATGGAGATTGGTACTGTCTAGATCCATTGTAAGTATCCTTGGCTATTCTACAGAAGTTTGTTATCCATATCTCACAATCTACAGAAGTTTCAAAAATCTCGTATGTTTTGTTTTGTCATGAATACAGATGCAGAAACTTGAACTTTGCGAGACGCGAGTCCTGCAACAAATGCAAGAGGCATCGTTATGCACCGGCTAATAGTCCTCCACTGCCTCGTCTTCCTCCTCCTCCCATGAATCTCTCCCCAAGAAGAGACTTTAATGGCTACAGATCTCCTACACGTGGCTGGCCCAGAGACTACCCGCCCTCAAGGCATGACCATCCCACATGGAGAGACAGAGAACGAGACCGTCCGCATTACTCAGACCATGAGTACCCTCCTAGCAGAAGAATAGCGTCTGACTGGGCCCATACAGAGCTTCTCCCAAAACCTCATTACGACAGACGACCACCTCTCAGTCCACCGCATCCTCCACCTCGTGGTGGCAGATGGGGGCGACTTTCAAGAGAGAGGAGCAGATCACCGCCATTGAGAGATGTTCCACCACCGCCATTGAGAGATGGTCCACCACCGTCATTGAGAGGAGGCGGCGGTCCAATGCTGCACAGAGATTACCGCCGTGACAGTAACTTTGACAATGGAAGACGAGATGATGGGCGTGGCGGGAGAGGCAGAATGGGAAACTCTTACTGATGCAAAAACCGTGCATGTCTTTGGAATTTGGTTTAGACAGTTAAAATTTTCCCGGAAATCAAATGTGACCTTGTATTACACCTTAGATTCTTTCTTCTAATTTTGAAAACTTTTGTGCCATTAGTGCAAAAACCAAAGAAAATGAAAAGCAATTTTGGTGCTCTTTCGTAATTAAAGAAAGTTTCGGGGCAAAAATAAAAATACGCTTCTTCTTCAAAGACCCCTTTCGTTTCGGCTTCCGCTTGAGAAATGAGAAGGTGCGTAGTAGTACTATGAGTTCACGAGTGGTCTATCTACGTGTCAGTTTCCTATTCGCTGAAATCTAAATACACGCATATTAAAAGGGCTTTTTGGGTATTTAGCTCCGCGTAGATCGGACGGTGGAAAGAGAACAAAACCTAAAGCACTTATGAATTGACATCGTTGGATCATCGTATCTAACGAGAACCGTACGATGAGATTACCACGCAAATCTAACCGTCGAATATAATCCAGAAAATTGAAATTTCAAAACATGTTAGAGAGAGGGAGGAGGAGAGATGGTGTGAGAGAAGAAGAAGAACAAAACCGAAAGTATTTTTTGCTTTTAATTTTTCGTTTTTAATTTTACCAAATTCCTCTGAGGGCTTCTTCTTCTTCTTCTTCAAGAGCTAAAACTCGACAGAACCCTAATTCTCAATTCTCTTTAAAGCTTATCCCTTTCTCTCTCTCTCTCTAATCACGCGGATCAAATTCAAAGTCTCAGTTTTTGAGCTTTTCTTAACAGCCGCCGAATCGGTTTGTGATTTTCTCGCTCCGGCGAGATTCGGATCTGGATTTTCTTAGCTGATTTGTGGGAATTTCTCGTTATTTTCGCGGTACTGTGGGAACAACGGAAAATTTCTGGGTTTTTTTTTTTTTGAAAAATTCAAGATTCGAAAGTCTTTGAGATGGGTGAAGACGGCGGAGGAGGCGAATTCCCGCCAAAAAAGGACGGTGTTGAAGAGGGTTTTCCGACGAAGAAGCCAGCAAGACAGCTTGACTTCACTGGTGGCTCTGATGAACAATCACTGTCTAAAGCAGCGGCTCCTACCGTCGTAGCTACGGCGGTGAAACCCGTCGTTACTAGCTCCATCCCTTCGACGATACGGCCGGGTGTGACCATTGCAATCGGTCAGGTACGACCGACGTTACCAATGGCGACGACGTCAAATCCGCCGTCACAATCACAAATCCTTAACGCGCCAATCAGGCATCCGTAAGTTTTATCAATTGAGCTTCATTTGATGAAAAATTCAAACTTTGGGTGTTTGGGTTGGGAAATTGTAGTCATGCGTAATCTTAACTCAATTGAGTTTGTACATGTTTCATTTGGGATGATGAAATTGGTTTAAAGTTTTATCCTTTTAGATGAATTGGTGAAACTAATTGGATTAAGCTTAACGAAGGTTTTATGACAATTTCAAAATTTTCTTCTCTTTTTTTGCAGAAAACCGGAATCTCCAAAAGCTAGAGGTCCAAGGCCTATTGTGGAAGGTAGAGATGGAACTCCTCAGAAGAAGAAGCAGTGTAACTGTAAACACTCACGCTGCTTGAAACTGTAAGTCTTCGCATTCTTCAAACTTTGTTATGTTGTAGTTTATTTAGTTTCCTGGTGACATGTTTGTGTGATTGCATGTTCATATTTTTCCTTTTTTCTGCTTTTTTGAGTTTACCAATTTTTGTTGTTAATTGTGAATTTGTGCGCTATCTTGTCAGGTACTGTGAATGCTTTGCATCCGGAACATATTGTGACGGTTGTAACTGTGTAAATTGTTTCAACAATGTTGATAATGAACCTGCAAGACGAGAAGCTGTGGAAGCAACTCTGGAGCGGAATCCATTTGCGTTCAGGCCTAAAATTGCTAGCAGTCCACATGGTGTGCGGGATAAAAGGGTACGTGACCCGATAAACTTGTTTTAGATTGTGGGAGAGTTCTTTAAACTTCTAAGTTATTGTGGGATGTTTAAACTGTTGATTTGTCTTTGTAGGAGGATATTGGTGAAGTTGTGTTGTTAGGGAAACATAACAAAGGATGCCACTGCAAGAAATCGGGATGCCTTAAGAAGTATTGTGAGTGCTTTCAAGCAAACATTCTTTGTTCTGAGAACTGCAAATGCTTGGATTGCAAAAACTTTGAAGGAAGTGAAGAGAGACAAGCTCTGTTTCATGGTGAACATGCCAACCACATGGCTTATCTTCAACAGGCAGCAAATGCAGCCATTACTGGAGCTGTTGGTTCCTCCGGCTTTGCTCCTTCTCCAGCACCTAAGAGAAGGAAAGGCCAAGAGATTTTGTTCAACCAAGCAACCAAAGATTCATCTAGACTTGGCCAGTTTCCACAGGTTCCAATTTACCATTTTAGCATATATATGCTTTTTGGTAACCATTTATAGAACTGAAAATAACTCTTTGTCTTGCTGTTGGCTTAGTGAAGTGAAATCTTCTTATTTGTATTTAGGTAAATAGTGGAAGAGCTAGTGGACCAACCTCAGGCTCATCTCCGTCACCTGTTTCTCGTGCTGGTGGCAATGCATCGTCAGCTCCATCAAAGTTTGTATATAGGTGAAAGTTCTGGTGTTCACAAGTTATTTAGCTTGATCCAAGAGCTGTGTAAAACTGACTTGTATGTTTTAATTTTTGAAGGTCCCTTTTAGCAGATATAATCCAACCGCATGATGTTAGAGCACTTTGCTCTGTTTTAGTCGCTGTAGCTGGAGAAGCAGCAAAGACATCAACAGGTGAGACTTTGAGTTAAAACTCTGTATTGATGAGGTTCTAGCTCTGTGTACTATTCACTGATCTTCCTTTAAAATCTTCTCAGATAAAAGAAATGAAATAGAAAATCGTGTGGAAGATCAAACAGAAACTTCTTTAGCTTCTTCTGCACAAGATCAGCCCCAAGGCGATAATGATGCAGCTGATATGGAGATGGTTGCAACTGATGGGAATCAAGCTGATAAGTCTGGAGCAGAGGAATCCAATTCAGATGGTGCTGATGCCTCGAAAGGGAATCCACTATCTCCAGCAACTTTGGCTTTGATGTGCGATGAACAAGACACTATCTTTATGGTGGCAGCACCTTCGCCTAATGGTGCAGTCGACCCCGGTGGCCGCAGAACGAACTCACAGGGCCAGTCAGAGATTTACGCAGAGCAGGAGAGACTGGTATTAACCAAATTCAGAGACTGCCTTAGTCGACTTATCTCTTACGCAGAAATAAAAGGTAAAAATTTCGTGTTTCACACACATTTCATCAAAAAACTTTCGTCTCTAAAGTTAGTTAAGTTTGTTGAATTGCAGAATCAAAGTGTTTATCTTTAGCAAGAATGCACATACAGCCATCTGCAACCGCGACTGTGAAAACCGAGAATGGGGTTCAACAGCAAGTACCAATTGTGAATGGAGCTTCGCGAACCAATTCTCAACCTACACTCAACAAACCGCAGCCTATGCAGCTGATAAACACAACATCAGCATCAGCAGCAGCAGCAGCTGCGACAAACACTCATCATCTTCATAAACCTCCAGCTTTATCAGAGAAGAAAGACCCCTGAATCAGATAGATTATACTCTACTTAGGACAGATAATAACTTACCAGAGAGAACAAGCTGAAATCTGCCTCACGACTGCCCTATTTATCAGGTCATGCCACCATAATTTTTCTTTCTCACTGGCGGTTGTTGCGGCTTCAGCGCATTGGCAAGTGATGAGAGAGAGTAATAGACACAAGCTTTTATTGTGTCCTTAAGCTTTCTTCTCACTTTTCTCTTTCTTTTCTTATAAAGTCTCCTCTTTAAAGCCCCTGTGGCTGTTGTAGATTTTGGAGAGCTTTGTTTCTTCTACTACACGAGCTTTTTGTTAGTTTTTTGGTGTTCAGTATTACTTTTTCTGTTGATGGTTTAGCTGTGGAACATCCTTGTTTACTGTGTCTGATTATGATGATCTGAGATGTTTCTCAATCAGCTTCTGTAGGATTTGAAAGTAATATATAATACATCCCTAATTTGGTTAAAGATGTAAATTTCTCTATATTTTCTTCCTGACTAGAACAAATCATAATACTTTGGGGTTAGTAATTCCAATATGTTCTTATATATGAGAATGACAATGACATCACTACAAACATTTATTAAGAGCATAAAATTTGTTTCTTTTAAGTGTTAACAACAAACACCTTAATAGCAATTAACTTTGAAACAATAAGAGAGACTGATTTATTCTCATTTGACTAACACCTTCAGCCTCTCCTGCATAAGCTTGTTCAAACGCTTCACAATCGAGACCTCGACGATTTCGATTCACTCTGCACCCAAAACCGAAGGTTTCATCATGGATAAATCGACTATAACCGAACTAGTACTGCATTCGTAAGCTTGGAAACATTTACTTCTTAGATCTAGTAATTACCATCAATTGTTTACGCAGAAATTTTTTGTTCTAGCCAAACTACAAAAACAGTTCTACATAGTTCATGTTAAACCCAAAATCTAATGTTAACAGGTCCCTTGCAGCAGATGAATCAAACCTAAATTTTATTCTCATATAAATCGATTTGTCAATTAGAGAGAACTTGGTTGGTACTGTGTTTTCTTGCCACAACATAAAATGTAAAAGAAAGTTGAGAAACTTTACCAAAAGCATTCCATTCATTGCTCTTTCCTCCAGATACCTCGACGGTTTGAAAAAGCTGCCGTAAGTCTCCGACAATCTCTTGAGCCTTTCATATATGTACTTTGGTCCAACTGTGTCTGCCCAGAAAACAATTCCCCCACTGCAACGGGTAAAAAAAATTGCTTAACACAAGAAATGATCATCACCAAAAATCTTTGTGACAAACAAAAGAAAGGAAAAAGTTTGTGGATATTGTGAATGTTAGTAAATGATCAGAGGCAAGGAATTTCCAGAATTTCAAAAAAAGCTTCCTTTTGCTTGATGGAGATTATGACTTAGAATCCTCACCGGTAAGAAGGAAAACTCATTCCAAGGACTGACGCAATGTCCAAGTCTGAGGCTCGGATCACAACTCCTTCATCTAGGACACGGCATGCCTCGTTAACCACAGGGAATAAGATCATCTCTACAATTTCTTTGTCAGATACTGATATAGGCTGCAAATGAAGGACAATACTGCATTAATTTAAAAATACCAAAGCACTACTTATATTTCGTAAGACCTCTTTTTCTATTTACCTTCCCACCAGGCATTATATTGGTCAGTTTCCTCGATTCCTCAACAATTGAAAGCACTGATGGATCGGGTTTTGGTTTGCTTCCCTTTTCGTATATATAGTATCCTTTCCCGTTGATTTTTCCTGAAGCCACAAATGTTAAAAGTGGACACATTAGGAATTTCATAAGGTAAGAGCAATGAAATACCATTTCGCCCGCTCTTAAGAAGAAGCTCGGTCATTGGAGATCTGAACATGCGGTCACCATAGACCTTGGCATATATCGGCCCAACTGCTAATCCAATCCCGTGTCCAGCCAAATCACCAAGCCTGAGAAGTGAGTCATCCAAAAAAATAAAGCTTTCTTCAGTTGCTGAGATAGCCATACAGCAACACATACACACACAGGCACACATAAGGACACACACAAAATCGTAGGTAACAAAATTTAGAGGGAGAGACTTACTGGAAAGGGCCCAACGGCAAGCCGAAAGAGGTAATCACGCTGTCAATTCTGAACAAGTCAACACCTAGATTGGCCAACATATGTGCAGCTTGTGTATACGGAAAGAATGTCCTATTCACTGCAAAGCCTATGCAGTTTCCAACCACCACGGGAACTTTCTTTATGGCCTTTCCAACCGCCATGAGATCCAAAATCACCTGAGCAGAAGTATTCTTTGAACGAACAATCTCGAGAAGGGTCATCAGATGGGCCGGGCTATAAAAAGACAAACCTTTGTAAATTATATTAAAAATAGGAAAAAAGCATAAAAATCTTGAGGCATTGGAAACACAGAATGACCTGAAGAAATGTGCGCCAACAATGCGATCTTTTGAGTTAGTCTTTTCCCCAATTACGTCGAGGTCGATAGTAGATGTATTACTCGCCAAAATGCAATGGGGTGAACAAACCTTTTCGATTTCTTTGAATATGTTTTGTTTCAACTGAATGTTTTCAATCACTGCCTGAAAATGATACCAGGAGCAAGGCCTAATAGTAAGAAGACATATATACTAGTTGTCCCTCTCTTCGAACTATCTAGATTTGGATGTACATGAAAGTTGAAACAAAAGAGAATGACAAATAACACCAAAGCAGATAACTAAAATTGAAGGCAGACCTCTATGACCATGTCCACATCTTTGAATTCTGTGTAGTCGAGTACTCCCTTGAACAAAGAGAGGGCCTTTCCTGCTTTATCTTGTGTCAGTTTCCCCCTAGATACCAAGCCTTTGATATTTGCTGTCACAAGAAAAAACTAACTTTATTGCATCTACTCACTGTAACAGGAATAGTAATAAATCATAAATTCCATCATATGCTATGGATGCTTCTTTCGGCTTAAAACAACTCACTGAAGTGTCTGTACACTTTTCTAATTTCTTAGGGCTGCATACTACCATATATAACACTTCATCTAAGAGAACCTTTTTATTCTGCAACCAATTTTTACGAAGAACGATTTTGGGCTGGCTCAACGTAGATAACAGTTCAATTTTTTGGTATGTGACCAAGATAGATACTTCTATAAATTAGCAACTGAATATGTTATGGATAAGATAATAACCTTCAACTGATTTTGTTCCCTTCATAAGGTATTCTGAATTTATTTCTTTAAGCACAACTCTTATATTGCTTAGAAGTAGAGCCGTAGTGATGCCAGAACCCATCAGACCTCCACCAATAACTGCAACTTTTTTTATCGGCCTCGGTTTCAATCCAACGTCAGTTACATTAGGCACCTGAAAAGTGTTTTAAGATATGCTTAGGATGAACACTAAGATATGTTCAGGATGAACACTGAATGTGAAAACTAGAAGTACTAGGACAGACAAACACAACATATGCCAATCTCACTTTTGATGTTGCACGTTGTGCGAAGAAAACATGAACAAGACCCTTTGCAGTGTCTGACAGTACTAGTTGCTTGAAAACTTCTGCTTCCTGCGAATCAAAGAGTTTAGGTACATAGCCAATTAGAAAATTATCGCAAGTAATCAACGTAAGGAATGGATAAATTTTCGTGAAACAAAGCAGTCATGATTCCCTAATTAAAAAAGTCGAATGAGCACCAACGAGCAGTAAATGATATATGTCAAAGCTATTGAAGAAATTCAGTAAAAGTGAGAAATACAGTAAACGTCAAATCCTTAAGATACCTTAAGAACCCCACTATATCCTCCATGGACGATTCCTTCTTCAATCACCTCAATGCAAGCATGGTGCTGAGGCATATTTGGGGCTACCTTCTTGGCTAGCTGTCTTGAATTCTTTAATATAGCACGAGCTTCAGATAAAGAACCAATTTTGTCGGTCCTGTGCAGTGAGCGCAAAAAGGGTTTACGTCCATCTGCAATATCTAGAGCCCACTTTCTGGACGTGCTCAACACATCTCCAGGTGGCACCAAGGCATCAATAAGACCCAGTTTTTGCCCCTCTTCTGACGATATTGACTTCGAAAGCTACCAAAATACCAGCATTGGTTTAGCAGAAGTTTCCAGCCAAGTAAATTATTTTTCGAAAACATGGTAATAAAACTGTTGGTAACTGCGGAAAATGTCATCCTTACCAGTATCATATCCGTTGCTTTTGCAAGGCCTACTAGCCTTGGAAGACGTTGGGTTCCTTCATAGACACAATTAGCTTAATTATTTACATTTCCATGATAAACAATAACTAGCCGAAAAAAGTATCGCATTAATTTAAAAGAAGACTTAGCTGAAAAAACAAATCCATACCTCCAAAACCTGGAATCACTCCAAGAGTCAATTCTGGTAAGCCTAGTTGAGCTTTCGGAGCAGCAACACGGGCATGACACGCCTAAAGAATTTCAAGTGAGTAAGAGACAGAAAAATCAACACAATTAGATAAGAAAATTAAAAGACACTTAAGAAAGCACAAAGGGAAACAAACTAAAAAATCCCACCATTGCGAGTTCCAAACCACCACCAAGAGCTAATCCTTCAACTGCAGCAACAAGCGGCTTCCTAGAGTCTGTGATAACCAGATAACAGCATCACATCGTGCGATGGTTTCAGTCCATCTTATTGAGAAATACATCAACCTTGAAAGAATAAATAATCTGAAACTAAAATGAAGCTAAAATACCTTCCATCAGGTTACACACAAGCTCAACAGATACTTCAGGCATAAGCGATAAATCCCCTGCAAAGAAACAAGATTCCCAAAACCCATGACACCAATATGTTACACTATATAAAAAAATACTTACAACAGAAGAAACTTTTACCAGTCTTATGAACTTGCTGGAAGACATTGATATCGAAACCACCCGAAAATCTTCCATTGTTCCCTGAAATGACACAATTATTCAAACACCATAAGCAACAACAAACTAGGATAAGAAAAAGGATTAAACTTTCAAACCCCTTCAATACATTAGCTTACAATTTTACAATCTCTAGCTACAAGATCGAATAAAATCCTTCAAAACATGAGAAATCTAAACAAAAATTTACCAGTCAATACGATGGCCTTAACATCATTCCTTTGATTGGCGTCTCGAAACTTCTCCTTCAACCCAGAAATAACTGAGAATGATAAAACCACCAAACAAGATCAAAATCAGCTTAAACCAAATCAATTCCAGATAAAAAAAATCGTTCATGATCTAATCAATCTCATATAAAAATTTAAGCTTTTTATATACTTGGACTGGCCAAAGAGTTAACAGGAGGATTAGAAATGGTGATGACAGCAACACCATCGTTCCCAACATCCATCGTCACTCCAATCTTCTTCGCCATAGCTATTAGTTTTTCTCTGTGATGAGATTGAAAAATGAAAACTTTAGCGTTCGGTGAGTGACAAAATTGGATAAAGATCTGGTTTTTTTGTTATAATTGGGCCCTTTGATAAATCAGGAGTTTACACATATGTAACGTGATCGATATCTCTTTCCTAACTTGTTGTTTCGTCATTTTTATTCATAAGCATATCCAAATCTTGTAGGCAACAAGGACGTATTGATATAACCGGTATTTTCAACTTATACCGGTTATGGTACTACTCAAACTTCAAACCATTTGAGACTACATACATCCAGAAGTATTTTGAGCCCATGAATGGGCCCATCTTCTTAATTCAATTATTTACAACAAAAATTATCTCATTTTATTAAAGTAAAAACTAAATATCATCAACCCAATTATAATATCCTCTTAGCTGTACCACAGTATATATGCAAAGTACTATTTAAAGTTGAAGCTTCATAGTATAATCCCAAGAGAAGAGAGAGTCTATACTCTATAGTACTCCATATGAATATGTTTTGATATGAGGACAAAATAGCATTAATAGGGTGAAATAAGTGAACTACAAGAAAGGCCCAACGAACAACTATTTTCACTGGCTTCAGCTGTCATTCTTAATATCGCAGAGATGCATATAATGCCTTGGATAGAATAATATTGCTTCTAATCGAAATCTCGTGATCATTTAATTTCCAGTGACAATTTATACTCCAGGTTTTAGGGTGTGTATATATAGTTCAGTATTAGTTATGAATAACTTAGATATCTCGACTCGTTCAACAAGATTTTGAACATGGAGTGTGTATACTTAAGTACTTGTGATGAATGAGCTACAAAATAAGACAATCACTTCGAATCCTTCCAGTTTCACAATACTAATTTGTAATTTTGATATAAAAATTTCGTATTTTCACTTATAAATAAAGAAAAACTCTAATCTTGGAAATAGTACCATTCATTTAAACTTGTTATGTTTAATATGGTCAGGTCGTTGCACGGTAGGCGGTTTTGAAGAAAGATTCACGATATGCAAAATTTTAATGAGTCTTAATTAGTTGATTCTTATTTTGTTCAGAAGTAAAAACTAAGAATACATTTGAAAACCGATCGACATATATATAAACTCTAAACAAGATTGTTGATCTCTTATGTATCAAAGAACAAAATTGACATAGATCAATTTATACTTATACATCTACTCGACTATTGTAGAACTCAAATAAAAATATCACTACTCTTGCCTCCTACCCAAATCACATCTGATTTGTTTTCCTCATCTTCTTCCTTAGCAAACAATTTTCTTAAGGAATCACCAATTAACTTACGAGGCTTCGAATTTTGTATTAATATTAATTACATCATTATTTCTCGAGAAATACTGCTTACTTTATGGATTTGAAAGATTTTTTTAATCTCCATATTAATCTTGTTGTCTCCCAACCTGTCAATTTAATGCATTTACATGCTCTACTAACTTTGGCCTTTGGGCGCAGCCACATGCTCAGCATGCTCTCATTTATTGCAATTGTATTGTATACATATATGTACATTAATAAGGTGCTATTTATACTTACATTTTCGGTTTATTTCTATACTTTTAGTCAAACGTGTATAGAGTTTTGGATTATGAATACTGATTTTGAGCATTTTAATTTGAAGTATACTACTCTACGTACGTGAACTGACGGAAAAATACGTATGTGTATCAATATGGAGAAACAAAATGTTTGTCGAGTCTTTTGGAAGGTAAATTCCCATGAGCGCCATTTTTTTACTTGACCAAAAATAGTGAGGCAAGTGAATGAACTTTACATCTCTTAACTCTAAATTTTTTATTTTAAAAGAAAAAAAACTAATAGGATCAAAATTTCATGAAAAAAAGTTTTGACTACTTTTTATCTGTTGAATTGATCTCATTATAATCTCCAGTCCATTTTGTACCCTACCTACCACCAACAATCCATCGACGCGACGAGTTAGAGACTTAGAGACAGTAACCGATGAATTAATCCATAAGCCAGAAACTTACCGAATAAATTTATAGACATATAGAAGACAACAGAACATTACAACATGCATATATCATGTCGAAATTAACTTCTAACTAATGTCAGTGATTTACAAGAGAACAAAATGGATTTTAATTTTATGTATTCATAAGAGAAGTAAAATGTAAATCCTGACGTGGAGGGATCTGCATCGAACATATAGGAGATGAGATGGTCCAACATTCATTTATAACTTATCCATCTGTCACTCCCTAACCCTAATTTTAACCCTTCACTCTTCTATATAAACCTCGCCAAGTACTTAACACTCTTCACTACTCTCTCCATTAAACAAAAACACTAGAGTTAAGTTACAAAAAGAGAAGAGATGGCAACTAGGTGTTTATCCGTGTTCCTCGTTGCTTTCATGGTGGCTCAAGCAGTCACCGCAACAAGACCGGTTCCAGCCAAGAATGTCGGAGCTGGTCTTGACGACCAAAAGACCTTTGGGGCGTTCGCTGGTGTCGGTGGAGCCGGTGGTGTTGGAGCTGGTCTTGGTGGTGTTGCCGGTGGAGTTGGTGGTGTTGCCGGAGTTTTTCCTGTTGGCGGTGTAGGCGGCGGAATTGGTGGTCTAGGCGGTGGTGCAGGAGGTCTTGGCGGTGGTGTAGGTGGTCTTGGCGGTCTAGGTGGTCTAGGTGGTGGTTCAGGTCTTGGTCATGGAGTAGGTGGAATTGGTGGTGACCCTGGTATTGGTAGTGGTATCGGTGGACTAGGCGGTGCAGGTGGTCTAGGCGGTATAGGCGGTGTTGGTGGTTTGGGTGGAGTTGGCGGTGGAAGCGATTGCGGTGGCGTAATTCCACACCATTGATGTTAAACGTTTGTTTTTTTTTTTTCTTTCTATAAACAAAGATCGGTCGAAAGGTTCATAATTATTATGTTTTAAGTTCTTTTATCGATGTTTATGTCTAAGTCGTTGTTTGTTTTCTATACTATATGTTTCTTTTCTTCTTCTTTTTTTGTTATGCTGTTTGTTAGTATTAATAACTTGTGTTATCAATAAATAGTGTTTTTTTTTTTCGTGTTACTTGCTTGTGCTCCAAGATATTAAATTATTTGCAATTTTGCATGCAGCAAACTTAACCTCATCTGTAAAAGTTATCATGAAAAAAAAATCTTGAAATTAACCAGACACCATTATATATCATATATGAAAGATTTTGTTTTTGTGCCAATCATTATAAACGAGATTAGGTTAACAAAACTAATCCTATACGTGAAAGTGTTATATTTAAGCAGTTTAATACATGTTGTGGACAGTGCACAACAAATATTGTTAAAATTTTGTATTTTTTTCCTAACTTAATCTAACTGAATTTTGTTCAAACAGTTTCACAGATAGAAAAAAAAAAATGCAATACTGTTTCAATATCAAGTTATCAACAGACTACTTAATTATTAGACATTCTTGAAAATCGTCGGTGTAGTATTCTATAATAATGCAGGTAATAATGTATTGATTTATCTGTTTTGTAAAAGGGTCTATACGGTGGAAGTTCAAACTATACAAGGCCCATGAAACATGGATTACAATTATTTCATGAATGCAGTATAAATATATAATTATATTCGTATCGGTGTGTATTGATATATTGTATATATAATATATAGACATGTTGACAAAGAAAACATTATATAGACATATATAATGTAAGAAATATTGGTCTAGTAGTGTCTGTTTTCGAAAAACAAATTTGCCACTTTCACTTGGGAAACCATTTCCATTGTAAAATGTTTTCTTTTTAGTTCCAACAAAAGTCTCCGAGGATATCTTCAAAGATATAAACTAATTAAAGTAAAATGAAATGTTAAAACAAAATTAAGATAAAATAATCTTTCCGCCGAACATTGTTTGTAAACTGAATTTATCTTTTCGAGAATTTTTCTTTAAATCACCTTAGACGACCTATGTTAAAGTAGGCACGGTTCTGTATGTAACCATTGGATTTTATTTCCATGAATGATAGAAATTTAGTTACAACCACCAATAGCAATAGCCAATAGGTAAATGTGTAGTTCCTATGAGAAGCCTCTTTTGAAGCTGAAGTTACGTTAGCTTTCAACATTGTAAAACAGGAGCCTTTTTTTCTTCGTTACAAAAAAGAGCCTATGAAATTTTTGTCAATCATTGATCAAACTCTATTATACACTAACAAAATTAGAACTATTACCATTCTAATATATCGTTTAACATTTTAACAACATTGTTTGACCAGCTCAACAACTTGTTGAACAGCAGGAGCGGAACGTTAGTTACCGCGTCACAACCAGTTCTTTTTCTGAAAGTAAATATAAACTTAAAGTTGATATCAGAGCGTTTGGTTATAGCATTTACAATTGGCATTAACTATCTACACCGGTCGATTTTATTGCATGTGGTCTCTCTCGGCCTTTAAAAGGACCCAACGTATCTCCCAGATTTTGGGCAAGGCAACAAACATAATCAACTTAAATCTTATCTACTTTCTATTTCTTTTTAAATCAAAATTACCGTTCTTGACTATGGCGAAGTGGTTTTTCACTATCTTCTTGGTTTTTGCCCTAGCAGCAGCTTTAGCTTGTGGTGCAAGAAACGTCCCAGTAGGCCTCTCTGACCAGAAGAACTACCTCGGATATGGTGGCGGATATTCCGGCGTTGGAGACAATGGTTTGCCATTCGGTGGCGTCGGTGGAGGTGTATCTGGTCCCGGAGGTAATCTTGGTTATGGGGGATTTGGCGGTCTTGGTGGGGGCTTAGGAGCTGGTTTGGGCGGTGGAGTAGGCAGTGGATTAGGCGGTGGCTTAGGTGGTGGAAGTGGAATTGGTGCCGGAACCGGTGGAGGAAGTACCGGAGGAGTTCATTTCCCTTGAGTTGTTACTGTGGTTTTAAGGCGTCATACGGTCCTTAAGCCAGGTCTAGCTTAAGATGATGTCATAATAATAATTTATCATATCTTTTTAGGGTTTTAAACTTTGGTATTATCATTAGCTGTTTAACGTGCGTCTTAAGTTACTATATTTAACGTATGTTTGAATCAGTCTAGTGTCTTGTCGTGTGATGGCTTGGTCTATTTTCAAATTCTACTTTGACTTTTTTCGAGTGTTTCACTAAATGAGTTAATGCAACATCTATGATTACTTTTCGTTATTATTATGAGCTCTATTTATAGATTTTCTAGTACTAATAACCTCTCTACATAAATGTGTATCGAACCTACTCGAGGCTCGACTTAATTAAAGTTCGACTAAATACAAAAGAAATAGGTTTAAGAAACAAATGAGTGACGGGAAAAAAAAGAAGAAGCAAATGAGTAAACTTAAAAACAATGTAAACAGTTTAAACTTTAAACCCATGATGTAATTGAGTTTTCTCGTTTTTTTATATGACATTTGTTAGATGTAATTAAGAAGTAATAAATTAACCCAAAAAAAATACTAATAAGTAATAAAGCCACTTAACATAGCATTTTTTACATGACATTTTACGATCGAGTAATGTAAAACTTTCGTAAAAAGGTGTTTAGGGTGGTTAGGTGAAAATAGTAAAGTCGAAATAAGTGAGTTCCAATTTAAAAGGAAACAAACAGTCAAACTTTGTATTTATTACAGAACATAGCAATTCAAAATACTGTTCGTGAGGTAGGTTTTGTGCATTTACTGCTCTCTATCTCTCTTGAATACAAATGTGTGGGTTGGGATATGATGAGTACATAACAAACACTGGGTCAGGTGAAAATTAAATCATTTTAGATTATTTTTTAAAAAGTTTGTGATTATACAAAAATGGTTTCCATCGTAAAGTTTCATCAATTCAACTTATTTGTTGCAGAATATGTTCTTATAATGGTCTACATTTCTATTAAACTATAAATCAGAATGCATTTGCTATCTGGATAAAGCTAAGTTTTTTTTTTTTTTTTTTATTAAAAGTTTTGCATCCATAAATTTATCATAAAGTAATATATTATAGAATTTTTTTTTGCTACATTTTTGTTGAATACAGTCTAACACCCGTAAATTTGTTATACTCCATCTTAAACAGGTGTTATAGAAGGTTTTACCAAACAAGCACATGTTTCTTTTGTGGAATCCGGATACCATTTGATGCATTTTCCGCCTAGAAATTGTGATTCAATGCATGTTTGGTTGCAGTTCGGAATCTTCGAACAAGGACCTATGGGAATCAGTTTGCTCCTATCTTCAGCTTCCGCAAGATCTGAGTTTATATTTTGGAAAAAGAATTAGTAAATGATATTTAAATCATACAGAGAATCACATTAAAACATAAGTCTCTTTTGGTTTGTTACAATACAATATCCCAATGTCCTGTGACAAAAATCCGCATATCACATGTTCAACTATATGAATAGAGAATTAATTTAATTTTTGCATACATGGAGTCAAGAGAGCAGCCAAACACAAAAACGCAAAGAAAATACATTTGCTTGATGAAGTCATTTTGATTTGCTTTTTTTTTTAATTGTTTTTTTTTTCTGCTTATTAAATCGATTGAATAGTTCAAAACCTTTCACTATATATAAATATATAGAGTAGTTTACTATATATCATGTCTCAGAATATATGGATTAATATTTATTTATATGCTATACATGGTAGGATATGTTATTGACTGATGAGAGTCATAATATTCTATAGCTTTGATTATTTGTTATGGACTTATTATTTTCAGATATTTTTTTCTGGTCAACTACTCTTTTGTTTTAAGATTTAATTAAATTGATAATATTATTTTCCTTAGGTAAGTAGTTTATGAAGAGACAAAACTGAATACAATATATTTTGGAAAAGATTATTGCAAATAAGAGCATAAAATGTGACCAACCTTTCAGCTACAATTCTAATTAACCAGCGATTACGTAAATGATTTGCAGCATATTAATGCAGTGTAATAACATCAATATTTAATTAAACGTCACTTACCGTTTCACTCTTCCACTATAAAAAGAAGTAACAAAACAAAATTCTTCCTAAAGTTTTTGCTTGCCCAAAAAAAAAGTATAAATTATATCAAACAATTTCTCTTCACAATTTTCTTTTCTCTAGCCCTAACATATCAAGATCATGTCTTAGACCATCTCCATCCTTCATACACTGTATAGGTGTCTCAAAAATATTATTTTAATCATTTTATAATAAATAAGTTATTTATTTAAATTATAAATTATAATTAAAGAGAGAATTTGGCCAATAATATAAAGACAAGTAGAGATACATTTTCTCAAAATTTCTCAAACCAGAAACTATGTCTACTCTCTTTCCTACATTTTAATTATTTTTTATTTTTTTAATCTTCAGATACTATTCAAGACACTGCTGTTGGAGATGCTCTTAGTTGGCGGCACCACCACTTAGAGACATCATAGTACCCTGAAGATTTTTGGGTGGTAAGTCCGGTTGTTAACAATTTGACCACTGGTGAAATTCTTTTCATCTATGGTAAATCTAAGTAAAATTAGTCTGCGGTTTAAGGCAAAGGCGGAACCAGAAAAATTAGTCATGGGGTCATAATTTTTTATATATATTATTAATTTTATTATTAAAAATGTCAATACAAATTTCTCTTTTAAAGATGCATCCTTATAATTAAGTTTCAAACAACAAAATCAATATAAAAAAAAACTTAGTTAAAGCCCAACAGTTTGGTAAAAAGGCACAACGGTAATGTTGAATCTCAATTAAACTATAGATAATTCCTAAAATTAATGTCATATTTCTATTTTAATTTTTTTTTTAAAGGGGTCAATAATATTTGAGAGGGGTGTCAATAGCATTCTTGGACATGTGTCAAATAATTATTTTAACAAACGTAAGCTAAAAATTTTAATTTGATGGGTGTCAAATGACCCCATGTTTCTTTATTGCCTCCGCCACTGGTTTAGAGGTAGATTTTTTTGGAACTTCAGAGAAAATATGCTTCACTCAACTTTGTTTTGGTGTTATATGAGCAAAGATGTTGGTCATATGAATGTAAACGTGTTTTGGAATGATGTAATTTTGTTCCATAGATGCGGTTGGAAGAATTGTACGTGTTTGGACAACAATAACTGATGGCCTTTATTTTTAGAATTCAGCAAGCGGTGAAGATGTATTGTTGCCTTGTCTGAGAAATGGGAAGTTGGATATATGGTAAAAACATATTTTTGCTTTTTTGAAAATTTCTTGCTATATGTATCATGTTGATTTTGGCAGATAAAAAAACAAAAAACAAAAGTACTAATAAAAAAAAACTTGTCATAACTTTCTCTCTTATTTTGTGTATTTTTCATAATGATAGATTTTTGTTGTAGTTGTTTATATATAAGTCATTTAATTACTAGATTAATTTTATGAGAAAAGTAGAAAATCATATATTATAATAAATGATCTATAAAACTTCAATAAAATATCATACGAATAAATATATTAAATAAATGATCTATAAAACTTCAATAAAATATCATACGAATAATCTATATCCGGTTTGCTAGTTACTGTTAAGTGTTAACACATGAATCTTACTATATTGGTTATAATTCAATATATACGAATAAATTGATATATAATTAAACAGAAAAAAATATAAATGTTTTTGTGGCATACTTGGTGTGAGAAGAACAACCATGCATACGAATACGAGGAAGACACATTTCCCTTTCCCTGATGAAGCCATTTTTTGTTTTGTATTGTTTATTTTCCGGTATTTGCTGATAGAACTGAATAGTGAATAGTACTCAAAATCCTTCACTAATATATATAGAGAAATATAATAGGTTTTTCTTTAATAAAATTAGATTATCTTCTATATTATTCTAGGATATGTTACTATATATTAAGTTACGTATTATACATATATGGAAGTTTTAATAATCATGATAGTAACATATCCTAGATTAATATAGAAGAGAATCCAATTTAATGTAGGATTTAGATTCAATCTCTTTTTCTATTAGTTTATTTTCCTTACGATAACTTTTTTTTTGGGTATATAATCTTTAAGATTGAAACAAAGATACCATTTCAAATTTACTAAATCTGTTTGGTATAGCATAATAACTAGTAGGAGTATATCATAATTTTATGGATCATGGATCGGTTCCATTTATGACCATAAAACTAGTACAAATGGTGACACTAAAATGATAATACAGTTATGGCAGTAAGTTACTAATCTCTTTAAAATAAAGTCAAAGCATTGAATATAGAGAGGAGTCAACAATTAGAGTTTATAGAATTGAACAAGAAGGAAAAAAAAACTTGGCAAATATATGAAAAATATATTTGTTCGTATTTTGTGTGTGCATATATAAGACAATGTAATATACCTTTGACAAAAGTTTATTACATTTGAGAAATATTTAGGAAAATGGGAAAACATTTGCTATGTTTATTTTTTATCCTCCTTTCGTTCGATTCTATAAACTCTTATTTGATGCCTCCTCTCTTTAGAAAATTTAATGTCGAAATTGTAAATCAACTTGAGTTTCACAAGATACTGAGGGTTCATTGCAAGAGCAAATCTCACGATTTCCCAATTACATATCTTAATATCGGTGAAAGTTTTCAGTTTAAATTTACTATCTTTCCAAAAACTCTGTACTGGTGTAATTTATGGCAGGTAAGAAAATTACAGTTTTTAAGTTTTTAAACATTTTCTCTACATATGTTTCATGTATAAAAATTATGATTAGCTTATGTTTGTTATGTTACTGAAAAGTTTGACCAGACAAAACATATTTGATTTTTTTGTTCGATCCAAAATTTTCTTATCTTCATATGTATATAATATGACACCTTTTTTTAATAGAGTTTACAAGCTGACTGAAATTTTGTTATGATTTATTGCGTTTAATGTTACATAATAAGTCGGTTTATAAAAAAAATTTGGTTAATTTATTTTGATTCGATCCAATTTAGTTTCTAACCCTAATGAGTTTGTACTACTTGACTCACTGATGCTACTATAAATTTTTATTTTATTTTTGTGTGTTTAGGGACCAAATTACAAACACTATGTGGTTTTTGCTGCGTTTCGTCCAGACAAAGATTTTATAGATGGTACATGTACCGGTATGCATCCTAATGTATGTAGATGGACTGCAAAAGAAGAAGGAGTCTATGTCCGCAACAAAAAATTCGAAGGAGAATATTTCATGTATACATGGGATGCTCCATCAAAAACAGGAAAAATCCCTCCAGTGAATGCACCTTCAAGTGAATCAGAACTGGACTCATCAATCTAACCACAGAGATGTAATCTTCGATCAATAATGTATCATGTACAAGATATAATTGGGCCTAATACTTATAATTGGGCCCTAATAATTGGGCCTAGTTCTGATATTAAAAAAAAGTAAAGATAAATAAAAGACATTTCTTCTTCCCAAAGCCAAAAATCTCAGTACAAGAGAGAAACAAAGTAACCTGAAGAACTCAAGAGAAATCGAGAGAGAAGAGAATCATCATGGGTCAAGGACCATCCGGAGGATTGAATCGGCAAGGAGATCGGAAGCCTGATGGTGGAGATAAGAAGGAGAAGAAGTTCGAGCCGGCGGCACCACCGGCTCGTGTAGGGAGGAAGCAACGGAAGCAGAAAGGGCCAGAGGCGGCGGCGAGACTTCCGACGGTGACTCCGTCTACTAAGTGTAAGCTCCGGTTACTGAAATTGGAGCGGATCAAGGATTATTTGTTGATGGAGGAAGAGTTTGTTGCGAATCAAGAGAGGTTGAAACCTCAGGAAGAGAAAGCTGAAGAAGATAGATCTAAGGTTGATGATCTTCGTGGTACACCTATGAGTGTTGGTAATTTGGAAGAGTTGATTGATGAGAATCACGCTATTGTTTCTTCTTCTGTTGGGCCTGAGTACTATGTTGGGATTTTGTCCTTCGTTGATAAAGATCAGCTTGAACCTGGATGTTCGATTTTGATGCATAATAAGGTATGTGAATTAGGGTTTAAGATCTTACTTTGATGTGTGCTGTTGTTGTGGATTTAGGGTTTTTCATTGGTTTTGTGTTAGGTTCTCTCTGTTGTTGGGATTCTACAAGATGAAGTGGATCCAATGGTGTCTGTGATGAAAGTTGAGAAGGCTCCTTTGGAGTCATATGCTGATATTGGAGGTTTAGAAGCTCAGATTCAGGAGATTAAGGAAGCTGTTGAGCTTCCTTTGACTCATCCTGAGTTGTATGAAGATATTGGTATTAAGCCACCTAAGGGTGTGATTTTGTATGGTGAGCCTGGAACTGGGAAGACATTGCTTGCTAAGGTTTGTCTTTCTACCTAGAATCTAGTGACTATTAGTGTTTGTTCGAAGTGTAGCTTAGTTTACTATTTACCGTCTCATTTACATTCAGTGAATCGCTTGTTCGGTCAAAGGCCAGACCTTTTGTGTGCTGCTGGTCATCTAGATTTCATACATTAGATCTTAGCTAGAAGATTTTTCTCATGGATGAGAATCTTTTGAATAACTTGTTTCTATAAATGTCTTTACTTTCTCGTTTCTCTCTATCACAAGTATGAGATTGTTGCAATTTGATGGTGTTATCTTATGTTTCATGCATGTTCTTACTTTACTTTCAAACATTGTGGGAATGAGCTCTTCTAACTTGATCTTATTTCAGGCGGTGGCGAATTCTACATCAGCTACTTTCTTGAGAGTTGTTGGTAGTGAGCTGATTCAGAAGTATTTGGGAGATGGTCCTAAGCTTGTGAGGGAGCTTTTCAGAGTTGCCGATGACCTTTCACCATCAATTGTCTTCATAGATGAGATTGATGCTATTGGTACCAAGCGGTAAGTCAAACTATTACACAAACCTGATCCATAACCCATTGATAATGGCATCTGATACTTGTTGTTTGAAACAACAGGTATGACGCTCACTCAGGAGGTGAACGTGAGATCCAAAGAACTATGTTGGAACTTCTGAACCAGCTTGATGGATTTGATTCAAGAGGAGATGTTAAGGTCATCCTTGCAACAAACAGAATCGAGACTCTTGACCCGGCACTGCTTCGACCTGGACGGATTGATAGGAAAATTGAGTTCCCTCTCCCAGATATCAAAACAAGAAGGCGTATCTTCCAGGTAATTAATAATTCTGCTGAGATGAACAAATCAATGACTTGTTTAAAAATTTCTTGTTTATTGAGTCTGTGAGTTATTTTTATAAAATAGATACACACATCAAAGATGACTCTCTCGGAAGATGTAAACCTGGAAGAGTTTGTGATGACGAAAGACGAGTTCTCAGGAGCAGATATCAAGGCTATATGCACCGAGGCTGGTCTACTTGCTCTGAGGGAGCGGCGTATGAAGGTAAAAGCTCTGAACCATTCAGTACAAGCGCACACACACACACACACACCACTTGGGCAATTACTGATGCAAATGTGTTTTAATTGGGTTTGTTCAGGTGACGCATCCTGATTTCAAGAAAGCGAAGGAGAAGGTTATGTTCAAGAAGAAAGAAGGTGTCCCTGAAGGCCTTTACATGTAAAATCATAATCATATCGTCATCATCGGCTTTCCTCCTCTACACTTTGTTATAATACTTTTGCTTCTGCTTAGGATCTTTCTGGTCATATAAATTGATCATGTTTTCTGATCTCCTTCAGTAAAACAATTCCTCATTTCCATTTAGGATGCCTATTTCTGATTAGCCTTAACCAACTGAAACCAAGACCAAAAAAACAACCTGATCTAAATCTAAACTGTGTGTAAAATCGAATGTTATAGAATGTGAGAATGAAAACACCAGAAAAGAATTCTCTCTTCCTCGGCATATACAATAACAAAACTTGGAAGCTTTGCCGTTGATCAACTCTTCAATATTCCTCTTATCTTAGATGCTTCTAACAAGAGTTATATATAGTCGATTTGGTTTCAGTAATTTTGTAAATATTTGCAAACATCGGCTAAATAGTAATTACACAGTAGTTCTGCAAACACAGGTTCTTTTGACAAATCGAAACTTAGTTCATACATATAGGATGTGAAGAGGAAGATAATTCAAAGTTATCAAGTGGGTTTGATCTTTTAGCGCCCATGCGAGACAAATGGTTCGGTAAACGTCAACGTAGCCACCGAACAAGGCTCTGCAAGGGATTCAGCTGCTTCACCGAAGCCTTCAATGGCTCCAACGTTCTCTCGAGCTTTCACAATGTCAAGCAAGTTGTTTGGTAGCTGAGCCACACCATCCAAGAACTGGATGACGCTTGACATGCTTGGTCTAATTGCTGCAACCGGATGCGAACAGAACAAGCCGAGTTTCAGAACCAGTGCTACTTGCTCCTCAAGGTACTTATCATCCTGCTTAACCCTCTCATCAACCACTTGCAATATGTCATCTTCCCAACAATCTAGCACCCAATCAGTAAGAACCATCTCGCTCGGCGAAGATGCTCGTGGCAAGACGGGTCTTCGCCCACAAGTAATCTCTAACATTAGTATTCCAAACGCGAATACATCAGAGCTTGTGGTTGCCTTCCCTGTTCTTGAGAGCTCCGGTGAGATGTATCCAAACGTACCAGCCACGTTTTGAGGTTTGAGGATCAAACCCGTGATCACAAAGCTTCGCGAGACCAAAATCACCGAGCCTTCCGTTCATAGAATCATCAAGAAGAATGTTTGCTGGCTTAATGTCCCTGTGAATGATGACTTGAACCCACTGGTGGTGTAAATAGCAGAGACCAGAAGCAACATCTTTGATGATCTTGAATCTTTGTGACCAATCAAGACTCTGTTCTGGTCGGTGGTAAAGAAACTTATCAAGACTGCCTTTTGGCATACAGTCGTAGACCAAATAGAGTTCGCCTTTGCGTCTGCAGTAGCCAAGAAGCCTAACTAAGTTATGATGTCTGAGACGTCCAATGGTCGCGATCTCGGCCACAAATTCTCTTATTCCTTGTCTTGAATCATGAGAAACTTTCTTCACCGCGATGTCCATGTTAGACGTCAATAATGTACCTTTGTAAACTTTTCCAAACCCTCCTTTACCAAGAAGCTCGCTGTTCTTGAAACCCTTTGTGGCAATGTAGAGATCCTTGTAAGAAAACTTATGTGGACCAAACTGCACCTCCCAGTCTTCAAGAACTTCCATTAACTTCTTCCTTTTCAAGAAAAGCATGACGCTTATGATCAAGAAGACGAGGACAGTGAGGCCAGTTAAACTCAAACTGATAGCCAAGATCTTTCTCAGACTACTCGGAGAGTCTTTTTTATAGTCATCAGGAAGTTTTGGAAGACGAGAAATATCTAGATTTGAAGCAGTCCCATTGAGCTTAAACGTCCAACCAAGAATATAGTGGGATGAAAGAACAGAGCCTGTGGATGACGTGAACCCAACGTACATACGCTCAAAGAGATATGGTGATAAATCTTTGGTTAGAGAAAGCAGTGGAGTCTTTGGCTTGGAAACATGAATAGGATGAATTGTGACATTAAGCTGTTTTCTTGAGGAATCATATTCAATCCAGGCTTGTATCGGTTTTCGGTTTATGAGAGACATGTTTTTGAAAGTACCATCGTCTTCGTAATAACCTGCTGTATAAGCTTTCTCTGATCTCAAGCTGTTGATGTCGATACCAACATGGTTGTCATCTATGTCTCTAAATTCAGTGCTTTGGATTGTATCAAACTCAACTGCTACAACATGATTTGAGAAATTTCCATTGTTTGAGATATTAAAGAGCCCAAGATATTGTGAGGGTGTAGCATAGGGCAAGCCTTTGGTGGGACAGATAGCAAAAGCAATTCCATGGCCACTAAGAGTTGGAATCTGAGAAACTATAGCGAAAACAAATGTAGTGGAGAAGGACGAAACGGTAGCGTTTGGTGAGTTCTTGAACCGTACTGGTAAGTTGTAGAAAACTTGACCAGTTTTTTGTACCGTGTAGTTTGAAAGCTTCAATAAGCCATTGGAGTCAAGATTGGCAGTTCCATAGCTGTTGTATAAGTAACCATTGAAGCCAAACTCTCCTTCTTCTTCACTCTCAGAAACTGCTTTGTTGGAGGAGAATTGCAACAAAAGAAGAAGCACTAGTACAAACAAATTCATCGTTTTGCAATTCTTTCTTCTTTCTAATTACCATATGTTTTTGATCTGAAAAAGAAGTGAAGAGGCTCTATATTTCTATATTTAGGAAGCAACAACGACTTGAAGAGTCAAAAACTAAAGTCTTGTATCTTGTCTTATGGTCCCAGTAACTGATACGCGTTTTCTAGTGTAATCAAAGCCAGACTATGAGAGGATGCGAACGCACAGTACATCACAGATCACACCTTAGCTCAAAGCCTCAAGCTTTTGAATCCAGATCAATAGTGGGCCTTTACATTATTCGTAAGAATAATGGGCCTTAGTGTCATATTGGGCAAATCGACTTGGCTCCTGTTGAGCCGATTGATGAAGAAGAGAGAGAGAGAAAAAGACAGTAGTCATCTGTATGTAATCTTCGAAGACTCTTATCTCTATCCACCAACAAGAGAGGGAAAACGCAAACAAAAGAAACACAGGAGAAACAAAAATGAGATAAGGATTTGAAGCCTCTCACCACTTTCCTGGTTTCTCTTTGGGCTTTATTTGTCAAACACTAAACCTTAGCGATTTTTCTCGCTTTACCTTTTCTGGGAAAATTTTCTCAGAGCAAGGCGAGCTTAAAGGTAGCTCCTTTCCTCTTTCTTGTTAATCTTCGCATGTTTTCATGATAAGGTTGTCCTAAATTTACTATCTTTCTTTTGTGGGGATGGGAATTTTGAGTGGTTTAGTTAGACTGCAATGAAATTTCAACTCAAATTGAGAAAAGACTGGTCTTTTACCTTTTATGTTTCAACTCTGTGTTGTTGTCTGAGGAAAGCTTGCAATTTTGAAAGTGTGTAATGGCTTTTTATGTGTAGGTGACTGTTTTTAGCTATGGCTACGATTACACCTTCTTCTATTAGCAATGCCTGGCTCATTCCTGGAGCTTCTTTTACTGTAAAGAAGAGTGATTGTTCCATCAAATGTAGCTTTTCTCGTAAAGCTGGGAAACAGATTCTATCATCAACGCAGAGACTTGTGTTACCTTTGTCGACTTCACTTAGATTGTTTCCTACACATGGAAGGCAGTTTGTGTTGCATCCTCAACGTAGAGCTACTGGGACTGATGTTGTGGCGGCTGTAGAGGAACAAGATTCTACTCCTGTTGTTTCTGACGATAAAGAAACCGTGGCTAGTGAGAAGTCAGATGCTCCTGCTACAACATCTCAGTCAAGGGGAACAGCAAGACCTGGAAGGAAGAGTGAATTGCCGGCTGTTAAGAACGAGGAGCTGGTTCCTGGGGCTTCTTTCACTGGGAAAGTACGAGCGATTCAGCCTTTTGGTGCTTTCGTTGATTTTGGTGCTTTCACTGATGGATTAGTCCATGTTTCTCAATTGAGTGACAACTTTGTTAAGGATGTTTCGAGTGTTGTCACTATTGGACAAGAGGTGAAAGTAAGGCTAGTGGAAGCTGACATTGAGTCAAAACGTATTTCTTTAAGTATGCGTGAGAATGACGATCCTCCCAAGCGTCAGTCTGGTGGTAGTGATAAGCCGAGATCAGGAGGGAAAAGGGATGCTTCGAAAGGAGGACAGAGGAAGGGAGATGGCTTTAACTCAAAGTTTGTGAAAGGGCAGATGTTGGATGGAGTGGTGAAGAATTTAACGAGGTCAGGGGCGTTTATAACTATAGGAGAAGGCGAAGAAGGGTTTCTACCGACAGCTGAGGAAGCAGATGATGGAATTGGAAGCATGATGATGGGTGGCTCTTCGTTGCAAGCTGGACAAGAGGTTAAGGTTCGTGTGTTGAAGATAGCAAGGGGACGTGTTACTCTAACTATGAAAGAGGAAGATGATGGTAAGTTTGATGAAACAACTACTCAAGGGGTTGTGCATACAGCCACAAATCCGTTTATGCTTGCTTTCCGTAAGAACGAAGAGATTGCTGCGTTTCTTGACAAGAGGGAGGAAAAGGCAGAGAAGCCACCTGCTGAGAAACCAGTAGAGCCAGAAGCTGAAACCTCTGTCTCTTCAGGTAAAGTCGAGGAATCGGTATCTGTCTCATCTGAAGTAACAAGTGAAGAACTTCCCTCGTCAGAAACTCCCAAGGTAGAAAAAGAAGAAGTGCTAGCTACCAAAGCTGAAGATGATTTGCCAGAAAAAGAAGAGCAAAGGGAAACACTTGCTGCAGCAGCTGAAGCTGAGGAGGTGGTTCCTCCAATTCCAGAAACCAAAAGTAGGTTGCATTGCCTTCTATCATATTGAATCAGTTCATTGTTTTAATGTGTAATAGCATTGACCCTTTTCTTCTACTGGTGACCAGATGAAGAGGAAATTGCTGAGAACTCTATTCCTCCAAATTCAGCCACCGATGAAGTTTCATATTCAGAAGCTGTAGCAAGTGAAGAGGTTGAGAAGGAGCAAGTGGTGCCCGAAACACCTGTTGCTGAAGTCGAGACTCCTGCACCTATAGTCACAGAAGCTTCTTCTGAGGAAAGTGGCAGCACCGCTACTGCAGATGATAGCATCAAAGGTCTTTCTTTTGTCTATCTTTTACCCGTTTTACTTCCTGACTCATGACCGAACGGTTTATGTGAGATTCCATCTCCTAACACAAAAATGTAACAGGCATTTCACCAGTTCTAGTGAAGCAGCTGAGAGAAGAAACAGGGGCAGGAATGATGGACTGCAAGAATGCTCTTTCAGAGAGTGAGGGCGATATGGTCAAAGCTCAAGAGTACCTCCGCAAGAAGGGACTAGCGAGCGCAGATAAGAAAGCAAGCAGAGCCACAGCCGAGGGAAGAATCGGTGCTTATATCCACGACAGCAGAATTGGTGTCCTCTTGGAGGTTAACTGTGAGACTGATTTTGTCTCACGTGGCGACATTTTCAAGGAACTTGTTGATGATCTGGCGATGCAGGTAACTCCAAGTTTCTAGCTGAAACATTTTCTTTGTTTTGCTACAACTGAGAACATAATTTGACCTGACATGTAGGTGGCTGCGTGTCCTCAAGTAGAGTATCTTGTAACAGAAGATGTTTCAGAAGAAATTGTGAAGAAGGAAAAAGAGATAGAGATGCAAAAGGAAGATCTTTTGTCGAAACCGGAGCAAATAAGGGAGAAGATAGTGGAAGGTCGGATAAAGAAGAGGCTAGATGCACTTGCATTGCTTGAGCAACCATTCATTAAAGACGATAAGGTGATAGTGAAGGATCTTGTAAAGCAGAGGATTGCAACCATTGGAGAAAACATCAAGGTGAAGAGATTCGTGAGGTACACTCTCGGAGAAGGTCTTGAGAAGAAAAGCCAGGATTTTGCTGCTGAGGTTGCTGCCCAAACCTCAGCTAAACCAAAAGCTAAAGAGGAGAAAGAACAGCCAAAAGCTGAAGAGGTCAAGGAAGTTGTTGCAAGGTGAGAGTTTTTTTATAATCTTCTCCCTTCTTGACACAAGTTCTTAAAATGTTGACTATAGAAAGATTTAAACTTTTTGCATTATGGCACTGCAGTCCAGCAACTACAGTGGTTTCAGCTGCCCTTGTAAAGCAACTGCGTGAAGAGACTGGAGCGGGAATGATGGACTGCAAGAAGGCATTGGCGGAGACCGGAGGAGATCTTGAGAAAGCACAAGAGTTCCTTAGAAAGAAAGGTCTCTCGTCAGCTGATAAAAAATCAAGCCGGCTTGCAGCAGAAGGGAGAATCGGCTCATACATCCACGATTCTCGGATTGGAGTTCTGATAGAAGTGAACTGTGAGACTGATTTTGTCGGAAGAAGCGAAAAATTCAAGGAATTGGTTGATGATCTTGCAATGCAAGCAGTGGCTAATCCACAGGTAAGAAAATGCCCTCAGCTGAAACAATGGGTTACACCAGTTAGTGGTCACTGACCTGAAATGTCTATTCGCAGGTGCAATATGTCTCGATAGAGGACATACCAGAGGAGATAAAGCAGAAAGAAAAAGAGATTGAGATGCAAAGAGAAGATCTTTTGTCGAAACCAGAGAACATAAGGGAGAAAATTGTTGAAGGAAGAATCTCAAAGAGGCTTGGAGAATGGGCATTGCTTGAGCAGCCTTACATTAAAGACGACAGTGTTCTGGTTAAGGATCTGGTGAAGCAAACAGTGGCTACTCTTGGGGAAAACATCAAAGTCAGAAGGTTTGTGAAGTTTACTCTTGGAGAAGATAACTGATCAAAGTTTTCAAATAAGGGAGCTCTGTTTTGTCATATGAGTTTAAAGCAAAAGTCTTCCTTTTTTGTTTTGTAGACAAAATCTTCAGTATTCACACTTTTGATTAGTTTTTAATCAAAACCTGTAATTTTTTGTTCATGAAAATATGAGATTTTATTTTACATTATAAAGGTGCATTTTTAAAAACAAAATATAAAAACACAAAAAAAACAATCTCCACCAATTTAGTTGTCATATGGGCTAAAAAAGTCGGCCGGCCCATTTAAATTTTAAGCCCAATAAGGGAAAGATAAAGTAAAGGTTTCCGAGGTTGTCATTTGCTTAAGGGAAAAAAACGAAAACGTGTGTCTGTCTCTTCTCGCAGCGTCTCTCACAGCTCAGGTTCGTGAACATTCCAATCTCAATGCAAAACCTCTTTCGAATTATCCTTCTTTGTTATTATTTTCCTTTTTGAGATCCGATCATATGTTCAATTCTAGGTTTTGACTGTTGATCTTTCGCAATTTCGAAACTTTTCCCAATTATAAAAATTAAAACTTTAGTCTTTTGCACTGTTTTGTTATTTACAGATGAATTTTGGGTTACCAAGTTTTTCTTGGTTTGGCAGCATCAGCTCAAAGAAAGATGTAACTATGATTGAAACCGTGACATCGACGACAACTTCTCTCTTAGAACAGCCAGAACAAGGGAAAGGAACAACCTTTCTTCTGAAACAGTCAGAGAAAGAGAAAGGCTTATTTGATATAAAGATATGGACTTGGTCCTTTAATTCAGTTCTTCCTTGGGCTACAAATGCCGCTGATGGAAAGCAGAAACCCACTACTATCAACAGAGGGTTAAAAAGGCATGCCCTTTCTCGGAGAGCTTCAAGATCAAATGGTGTGAATACTGTTTATCGGTTTAGACCTTATGTGTCCAAGGTTCCATGGCACACAGGGACAAGGGCGTTTCTTTCACAGCTTTTCCCGAGATATGGACATTATTGTGGACCTAACTGGTCTAGTGGGAAAGATGGAGGTTCGATGGTTTGGGATCAGAGACCTATTGATTGGTTAGATCATTGCTGTTATTGCCATGATATTGGTTATGATACTCATGACCAGGCAGAGTTGCTTAAAGCTGACATGGCGTTTCTCGAGTGTTTGGAATCAAATAAGCGTGTAGTTACTAGGGGAGATGCTCAAGTTGCTCACTTTTACAAAACAATGTGCATTACAGGTAACTACTTACAATGTCCTTATGCTATTATATTAATGTGGTTTGGGGCTCATCTTGTGACTCTAGATGTAAATAAGTGATGTGAACACTGGAAGATGTGAGATTATTTCATAATCTGTTTTATTATTGTGGTTGTGATATCTGAGAATGGCCGTTTCCATTTGATGATATATCTTGAAACTATCTATCTTGAATGCTCTCAGGTCTCAAGAGCATACTAATACCCTACAGAAGCTACCTTGTGAAGATACAATACGGGCAAAATCTACTTGACTTTGGCTGGATAGTGAGCAACCTCAGCAAGAGAAGCTGGAGTTTTCAGAAAAATTGAGACATAACGAAGCAAATCGGAGTTACTCTGCCATCCTGGTAAGCCTTTGCGGGTGTCTTCACTTTCGTTTTGTACATAGAAGTCGTAAAGAGAAGGAATCTGAGGATTAGGTTTTTTAGTATAGATAAATATGTTTAGTATGAAAATGTGGAAACGCTAGTAAGTGGTATGCGTCTTTTAAACCTGTTGTACATGTTTAGTAATAAACCCTTGTCTTTGAAATCTTTTTGTTTGAATGCTATAAGCTCTATCAAAGGATCAATATAACTCCATGGAAACTCATGAACTAGAGAAATATTTTCTTTAATAATGTATGCATCCAAAGACCAAACCGGGCATATATAATAACATTGAAAACCACATCCCGCTTACACACTTCCAAAACCTTTTATACATATGAAACTATGAAGTCTTCCTTGGCAAACACACATACACAAACCCATATGTTTCATTAGATTGATTAGAGACAGAAGTAAGAGGAAGAGGCCTTATTAGAGCTTAGTAGAGGCTGTTTTAAGAAAGATCAAACATCACTCCTAGCACACAAACACACAAGAATACTTCAAAACAAAATGGCTAATACATTTCTTAAAACATATTTTTCCCAAATCATATATTATCACATAAAAGGGCTTTTCCTAGTTCCTGCTTCTGCACTTTTCCATCACCCTTGGAGCTGCAAGAGAAAACACAAAGATTTGTGTAAGAAACATTGTGTACGTGATGGTTTCTTCATTTCTGTGCAGTAGTAAGTTCCTAGTGTTTAAGAGCTCGGAATGTCTATAGAAGAATCCAGCAATAAGCTTAAGAATCATGAAAGTATTAGAAGGCGGTCTTAGTTCAAAATGGACCACCTTCTAAATACATCTTAAAGCCCAGCACAATGGGTGTGGAACAGAAACTAGGATTTAGTAAAGAAATACTAACCTAAGCCGATAGCCTCAGAGCTCTTCATGATTCTCAGCTTCTTGCAGGAGCATATAAACATTCTGCAGAGAAAAAAACAGTAATATTAGATATGATAAATTACTAGATGTTATAGTATACAACAATCAAGCTGTTGAGATTGATCTTAGAAGTTTCTTAAAATTAGCAATCAAAGACTTACTCCCAAGGGACATCTCCGACGAGCATCCAGTCACTGTCTTTATCTTCATAGGTAACAACATACTCAGAACCACGCAAGAGATCAGTCAAGCGACTCTCGTTTAACCCATCTCTCCCACACCCTCCATGAGACCCAAACTGACCTGAAAAAAGAACCAAAAACACCCAAAAGAAAACAGTTACACAACTAACTCAGTCATATGTATTATATATCTCAGTGAAGGAGACTATAGAAACCGTTACCAATGGTGAAGCAACTGAACATCTTCTCAAGAGCAGAAGAGAGCTCAAGGTAGCTTTTGTAAGTCTTGAGATCGATTTTCCTCAAGTAAGGAGCACCTTCCATACTCACTTTGACATACAAGCAAGGTTGTTCTGGTCCAGACTTAGCTTCTGCTTCTTCAGTCTCTGAGTTATTACCTGGTTTCTGAGATTGAGAAGAAGCCATTGAGTTCTTCCTGAATGATCTTATTGGTGGCCAACCCACCACTTGTGCTCTGTTCAATGAAAGAAAACCCATCAAGAATCATTCTTCATAGAAATCATCATCAAAGCTTTTTTATGTTTTATAATATCTCAGTAAGAACTAAAACAGAGCAAAAAAAAAAAAGCTTACTTTGAAGCTGGAGCTGTTGCAGAGCTCTTCTTCTCCTTAACCGGAACAGCCGGTTTAGGGAAAGTTGTCGACTTTCCATCTTTTACGACGGAGCTACCGGGACCAGAACCCGACCCGACATCACCAGTAGCAGTAGTGGATCCGGTAGAGAAGATCCATTTGTTAGACTCGTTGATGGCGTCGGAGAACACCCTTTTGGCACCTGACACGGGACAGCTACTCTTGTTGAGAGCCAAGAATCTTGAATCGACTCGCTCCGGTGACTCAGAACCAGGTAAACCGAGTCTCAACTCGGTAGCCTTGAAATTGAGACCGTTGTTATTGTCTCTGGTTTTGGTTTTGTCAGACATTGTTGTTGCTTCTTCCATGGTTGGAAACTCTGACAAACCTATGTAATCGTGCTCTGCTGCTACAGATTCAGACATTTTTCAAAATATAATTGTGGACAAACTTTTGAAGCATTTAGTGATTACAAAAAGAAAAAGAAGAAAAAAAACACTTTCTGAGAGAAATGAGAAACAAAAAATTCTGAAGTTGGGATCAAATTGTGAGGTTTATTTGAGAGAGAGATGATAAAAAGTTGTGTGAGAGATATTTCTATTATTTTTTACTTTAATCTTCTTTTTCTTGGAATCGTATTTTCCAAAAGTGGACGAAAGTATTACGTAATTTATATTCTTATAAGTTTATAATCCGTAATTAGAAGTAAAACTCTTTCCTCTTTTGGCGGGTTTAAACACAAATTATTACAAAATGTTGATTTAAGAAAATGGTAATTGATAAATTGTTTATACAAACTATATAATATACACATGTTACGTTTTTGTGTAGACATCTACTCCCCGACAGGTCACAGAAAGCGAATTTTACCCTTGTCTCGATTCTCGCATTACACGTTTTATTTTTACTTTTACTTTTGGTAATTAAAAATGCATGGCATGTTATGCTAATAGGCCATCATGCAAATGATTTAGTATCCAAAATACGCTTTTCGATCGTATTCAATTCCTTTTTGATTTAGTATCACTGATTCAGTTTAGTTTGGCTTTTTTATGAATTATGGTTTACGTTATACGTTTTAGATTCACTAGACGATTTGATATATATGATCTATATAAATCAAAACGTGTTTTAGTTTAAACTTCACAGCCTTATGTTATGTATATATTCTCTACTAGTATTTTAGCTAACGAATAGAGATTATTAAGTCGCCAATAATTGCGATGGAAGATGATTTACAGATTTAGACTTGGGGATGAGAACAGTGAAGAGAATCTCGAAAAAGTTTTGGGCCCATGGGCTCTTATTTTTGGGTCCACCAGAAGCATGAAAAGGGGAAAGAAACAGTAGGGGTAGGTCTTTGCCACTTAGCCGCAGTAGCAATATTGAGCAGTGTTCCCAAAAAGAATTGTGGTCTCCACACTCCACTTTATATTTTTTTCAGACAATGTTTTCCCAAAATCGAGCATATATGCTAATTTACAATTTGACATATTATAAAACTTTCGATACTTGGATCAAAATCTTAAACTAATAAAAGTTTAAATGATCAAATCAGATTTAACTTTCATAATATATATGCCTATCTATCTCCAAATATATTTTATTTTTTCAAAGTGGATCGGATGACTCAATCTACATATTATACGTTTTAAAACGTCTCAACTCATATTTTACCCCCAAGAAAAAAAAGAGAGGCAAGTTCAAGATTTATGAATCAGATGCTTTTGTGGATAACATGAGAAGAAGTATATGAAATATTGTCATTTCTACTAATGATATATTATTTGATAAGTAATTTTTAAATTTTATTGATTAAGTCATTTGTAACAAACTAACAACGATATGTATATAACAAGATAACATACAAAAAGACGCGTAAGTTGCAGTTTCTACACCATGCATAGTAATTTGGTTAAAGCCTGCCTCTAAGGTGGATTCATCTTTGGATCTTATCTAAAACTTTTTAGATTTGTGTTTTAGTGTAAGTTCGAGTGTCTTAATCATAAGGTGCCTTTCTTTAACTTTTCCTTTGTCTCTCTCTTTTTTTGGGCAAGGATTTTGTCGTTTTTCGGACATCTCATCTTATATTGCACCTTAACTCACCATCTAATCATGCCATTAGTTACTTACAAAGCTAACTATAGAAATCATATATATGAAGCCTGTAAAATCTAAAGATTAGTTGGAATTAAGCCCAAATGATTTACTTATGTATGGATGTTGCATCACATGCATGTGGCGGTTTTTTTCTCATTGTTATGAGCACTTTAGGTTTACTTTAATTTGTTAACAAGAGACATCATAAGTTTAATTATATTAACGAGGGACAGCTTAGTAACTTAAAATGTTGGTTTTGAATGTTTGTTTATTTGGCGCCACGTATACGCAATAACAAGAAGAATTTTGTGTGTTGGTTTTAGTTTTGAATGTTTGTTTATTGACGTCACACTGTTTTTGACTCTAGTAATCTCCATCTTCCTCCATGGCTAACTGCTGACTCTATTTGGAGTGACTTTGTTCTCTCAAGTTCTATCTAAACAAATTAATTGTTTTGAGTAAAAAAAACTAATGGTGATTAGGGTATAAGAGATTGATACCCTATTCTAGTTAAAGGGGTTTTAAATATGCTTGAATTAATAAGATTTCGCTTCTCGAGAAAAGTACAAATTTTTATATATGCTTTACACTGTAAGAAAGCTTTGTTCACATACAAATCACAAACGAAAGTATAGAATAGTCTATATATAGATATATATATATAGATATATATATATATATATATATATATAATCCATTGTAAAGATATTAACTTTTCTCTATAGATCTCCTATTTTCACGTTATTTAGATTAAAGTGGGAAGTATTTAACTCAAATATAGTGTTTGAACTAGGAAGTTGTTAATTTCTTTGTAAACTTCGTTCCCTAACCAATCCTAATTCAACCTGTGTGAGGGACAAATATATACTTGAGTTTATTTATTTATTTTTTCATTTTTTCCTGCTTTTTATCAAACATAAAAATTATGACTATAATTGAAAACAATTTAGTTAGTTGAGGATCGAATGGAATTACACTAAACCTAAGAATGTTAAATTAGTGGACGGCCGTACTTACAGCGTTAGTGAAAGATCGGTTTGTGTCGTAATCGAAAAAAAGAAAAGGAACAAAGAGACAGTGTGAATCTTTAGACAAAGAAGCCACTTACCCTCCTTGATTTAACGTCTGTACAAGAACCTCATGCTCCATTATATTTCATAACCTACCATATCGAATCAATCCGACGACTATAAATGATTAGATCGATAAGTTTTTAATCTGTCATCAAATTCAACCGCATAATGGTAAGTGCCGGTTGCCCGGTTCTGATTATTTTTTATACGTTTAGTTCGGCTCTGTCTACATATGTAGAATATATATATATATATATATATATATATACAGGTATATATCTGTATATTAAATCTTTGGAGGGTAAGTATAATCTTTAAACATATGCCCTCTCATGTTAACCTTTTTTCGCAAGTGATTTCAAACATTGTAATCATGAGATTCATATGATT